CATCTTGATGCACTGAATTACAATGAATTATCTAGCTCATTTAGGTGGGGGAAAAACTATGGCAAAGTTATTTTATCCGACACAATGTTGAATGATGATGATGTCGTATGCTATGGCGATCTCGTTGTATTGTCCGTAAGCCAGTGTCTCGCTGGGTCCTTGGTCAAGTGAAGGGCTGCGATGCCACCAGTAAGGCCAGAGAGTGGGCAGCCATTGATCATATGGCACATCGTCTGGGGTTCGCCACAGTCACAAAGTGGAGATGAATTTCCAATACCATTATAACTTAAAAACTGTTTCAACAATATTCAAACTCAAAACACTCAACAAGTGGACAAGCATCTATTTCGGTCATATGCACAAAGACCATATTTGACCTTTTTTTCTTCAGTATTGTGTGAAACGTAGTGCCCATATTTAATCTCTAAATTTTCCGGGATAGTCTGTATACATGTACATCAAGTGTGAATTCAGACTAGATTGCATATATTGATACGTTTCAGACCGTTCAAAGAAATCAATCATGCACAATGCCAAATGCTCCAATAACTCTACACACACAGAAATGCAAACCCTTCAGAAAATTACATACCGGTAGGGCCCCCCCCCCAAAAAAACAAAAATCAGAAGTGTCCTAAGGCTTAACAGCTGTTGGATGGAATAATCAAAACATGTTCACAATGTTGTCCATGTTTTGTGTACATTCTAAAACTGTCTCCCACTTTAAATTCAATGTCATTGTTTGATAAAACTTTTGTAAAAATTTCACTTTTTCTGGAGGTGGGGTGGGATTTTTTTTTGGGGGGGGGGGTTCCGAGGGATCAAGAGATGGCGATTTATGAAAGTCTTGTCTGAAGTACATGTATGTATCAGATTCCTGGTAGCTGTCATTTTAGGAATGGGAAGTGATTTCACACTGAAAAATACTTTTTTGACAAATACTTGTACATACACGTAAGGGTGAGAAAACGTTTGTGTGTGTGTTTATGGTAACGTCCCAAAAATTATCCAGGTAGGTACATGTAGGTAGGAAAATAATTTTATTAGGTAAATGTTCTTATGTTTGTCTGCCCCTCTTATACACCGGCACATGTACATGTAGTTTGTTTATTTTAGGATACCTTTCACAGTGTTCTGTTTAATCAACCTGTTTAATTGTTTAATTGACAAATAATGCATTTAGTCATAAAAAAAAATCTGGCCAAATGTACCGGAAGCAATACAAACTTCCACGTAGGTCGGGTTACTGCAAACACACCATTTTATTTAGTCTAAACATCCTTGGCCTTAATCATCCATAAACTGATTGTCTGAACAGTTGTAATAATAAAAGTAGTTTTATCTAGTAACCACAGTGGCATATACAGGGGGGCGGGGCAACTTACTAACCCCCCCCATAACAATAGACCTTTTATTAAAGGAAATAAAGGCACCAGTTCCTTACAACTGGTTCCAGTATTCCCACCCTCCCCATTTAACCTTAATTTTTATCAAAAAAATCACCCATCCCCCCAATCCAAAACCTGGATAAGTTAAGTACAGCACAGAACGTCTGCATGCCCAAATGCTACAAAAGTGTTTTTCATCTGGTACATGTACTATAACCCTTTATACATGAACTATGTACCTGTAAACATTGTACCATACATGAATCTAGTTTACGTAATAATGCACAAATGGTCACTTTAAACTCGATCGCAGCATTCTCCTGGAAAGTTCAACAAAGGACGTGCAGACAACCACATAAATTGAAACCGACACTTCCAGAGAAAGAGCGAAAGATGACAAAAAAAATTAATCGTAATCAATTTCGAGTTTGTACTTGTAAGCCAGGAATCCCGGGGGGAAATCCAATGATGTTTTAGAACCAAAACATCAAAAGTAATTTCTTCCTGGCATTTGAAAATTCCCAACATGAAAATTCCCAACACACACACAATCTCACAAAACCGAAAAAAGTACTACATAGCACTATTTATTATTTCTAGTAAGGAAATATGCAGCTATTCTATACACAAAAGTCCTAATTTTCATTAGCTAAGGGGAATATGGAAATCTGCTTCAAATTACTGGACTTACATCGGATAAATATTTTTTTTTTAAATACCGCATTTGTTTCTGATATAGGATTGAATACTTATCATTTGTAATGGAATAGTTATTTGGAAGAGAAACTTCCTAGAAATGAAACATTAATGCGTTAAAGTCCGACCATATTTCCAGGATAAACATCCACGGATTTCCCTGTTGTTTTTTATTCCCCGGTGAGAATATGGCAAAGAACAACTTGGAAATGACATAAACTGTTCAGTTCAGCCATTTAAAGGTAATGCAAAAAAACCCAAAAAGGAAACTGATAAATTTTATGAAATACATCATATATCTAAAGGGGGAAGCCACTGAATAATGGGCATACATGTAACTGTAAGTAAGGCAAAAAAAATAGTCGGTCTCTGGTCAGACCAAAGTTCTGGAATTGATGTGGCAATGTGTTTTGGGGGGTTTTGGGTTTTTTTTCAAGCTTGGATTGTACAGACAAGGTGGGTACATTGTACTTTTTTGCTTTTGTTGTGTCCTCATATACATTGGTGTCCTCCATCATTTGCCTTAGTGCCCTCCATCATTTGCCTTTGTGCCCTTCCCCATTCCTTGCTGCTCCTTGGTACGAAAAGTTGAGGTGGTGCGGCAATAGAGGGTGCTGTTGTAGCTACCGCAGAAATTTTGAAGAAAAAATAGATTGACGCGCATGATCAAAATCGACGCGCGCGCTGACCAAAGACCGATTCCTTTTTTGTTTTGGCCTAACTAGTCAAATTCAAAATCTAGTACCTTGTAGCAACTGAGGAGCATGGGCCAATGATAGAGAGCTGTTAAAGGGAATATACATCATTTGCTCTTGCTGTAATTTTCAGAAATGGATGGAATTGGGGGGTTGGAAATATATAGCAAATATAGTTACACTGACTTTTTTGAGGTTTTGGGTTCGAAAATGCTATAAAAACCAAGAAAAACGATCATTTTCCTGTAGTCTGGTTCCCTGACTCCATATAAGAAGAAACAGAGCAGTTTATATACATACATTGGGGAATTGTAAGGTCAGGGAACCAGTCTAGCTGGCTCGTACCCGTTCATAGGTTTGTAATCGATTGCAAACAAGTGCGATGGTCAATTGGGGCCAGTATTTGAAAAAAAGCCAGTTGTTTCCAACGCTGATCGGCCGATCAGCGTTGGAAATTGATACAAAAATACCACTTTTCTTGAAAATGACAGTATACCAGGTGCCATGATTTCACAGGATGCTTTACACTGTCATTCACTAACATTCCAGCAAGGTATTTCAAAATAATTTGGTAGTTTTATTTTTTGATGTTTGCAAATGTTGTATTTTCCCTTTAAGCTCAGCACAGTTTGCTTAGCAAAAACAGGTCACCAGCCAAAATGCCATGTGTTTGTCTGTTTGCTTGTGGCTGGTACTCCAATGATTCTCTGCTTATCAGTTTGTATCTCAGTAGCTACATTGTCCAAAATTTTTGCACCGTGCGATGTGTATGACCGCCAAGTCTAATTTAAAGGCAGAGTGGACCAATTGTAATTTGTGCATTTTCTGTTCGTTTGAAGTAACAAAAGTGTTCAAAGGGTGATTAACAACTAACCTGATGAAGTTTCAGCTAGTGAATGCTGTACCGTATATTCTGAGAAAGCAAGATTCTAGGATCTTGATTTCAATTCAAAAGTTGCCAAGTCATATTTGAATTGTGCCCGAAATCAGCATCTGGGACACGTTCTCATTCAGCCAATTGCAGAGCTTCGTAATGTCACACACTGAACCGACGAATAATAGCAACCTCACGCGCACACGCATGCGTCGTGTCAACGCTTGTGCACACCCATTCACGAATTCGTCCAATTACAAACCAACCACTAATGGAAATTTCCAAAAATGTGTCACTTGACACATCTTTGGAAATTACCTTCTTTTCTTATGTTCTTTAAAATGACAGCTTGCCATAAGGAATAATTTCACAGGGAGTTTAGTGTCATTACTATCTTTAATTTAAACCGAGTAGGCTTTTTAACAGTATTTTGGTCAGTCACTTTTTGGATAGCTACAAATGGTCCACTATACCTTTAAAACAAATTATTCTGATAGCAAATTTCTATTTGATGTGATTAACATTGTACGTTCATTTCAGTTCATGTACAGTATGTATACCTGTATCGGGTGCATGTATTGAGTGTATAGAACACATGTACATAAGTATACATTTTCTAGGAGATACAGCGTACTCATCAATTGATAAATTTGATTAAGTTGAGAAATCTCGTCTCTGAATTCCTTGACCTAAAAAGACAAGGGCGGTCCTAGATTAACCTTAGGAATGATCTTTTAATTCCGTCTGGTTGTAAACAAGTCCAGACAGGCCCATTAGTCCTTGAATGCTGTGTCAACTTTTTCAAGAGGTATCTTTGAACATGTATGAAAACTGCACTGCTTCAACTCAGTTGGGATTATACTTTATGTAAACACAGTATATTTTTTTTCTTCAAAACGCCGCTTAAACCCAGTCAAGACAGTTATTGCCTAAAGTTGGTTCATTCTCGATGCAACTTGCAAACACGAATACGCATTTGTGACGCCACGACAAGTTTTGCTCAGAGAACGACAACAGTTGAACACTTGCAACTCCATTGAATTTTGCTGCAAATGTTTTGTCACATCTGGTTCGCATAAATTTGCATACCTGTATGAACCAGCTCCGACGATCAAATTCAAAAACAACTTACCAGCCAATCAGCATGTCTGTACAATGCCGGCTGAAATTTGCTTAGCCAATCAATGTGTTGGAAAGCTCCCTTTTGCTGGCATGTGATTTTAAAAGGCACTACCCCATTGGTCAATGACCCCGAGGTTGGAAAACAATCAACCAATTGGGACATTTCTTTTAAAGATAACAAATAATGAAAGTACCTATTAAGAGTTAAAAGAAAACTTGACTTACCAGTTTTTTCTGGATTCTTTTTCTCTTCGGGCGTCTTGCTGCATTCATTATTCCTTTTTCGCTGATTGCAATTCACTCCGCTGTACCCAATCCAACATCACAGTATCACTGGCAATAGAACAACAATACGGTCCCACCTGTTGTGAGTGGACTTGCTTGAGGCGTGTTGCGTGGGACTTTGATCAAATGATCCCGGATCATTTATCACTTTTCAAAAGGTATCTTGGGCTGTCACTTACAGACTTGAGGTTGATCATCTGGCATTTGGCCAATCACGGAGCTCTCGGCATGTTGCGTGCACAAGGATCATACAATGGACCTATATCATTGGCTGTTTAATTTTGGTTAAGCATAAAAAAGTATTTGCTTATTAAAAACGTATTTGCTTATAAAAAAAAAACGGTTTTCCAGGCAAAAATGTCATGTGATAGTATACTTGTCACTTACCCCACCTTTTCATGCTTAGCATATAGACTTGCTAAACATCAAATTCTGCTTAAAGCAGTTACACAAAATCTGAACAGTTGTTTTTTTTCCCCAGTTTTTTTTTACTGGGTCTGGCTGTAGCATTTTAGTTCCGATGTTTTTGCCCGGATTTTTTTTTTCTGCACATGAAAGTCAAGTTTTACCCCAATGGGAAAAGGGGCCAAAATGAAATTGGCTAAATGTCAAGTTGTATTTTTAGCAGCAGTCATGTAATTTCCCGTCTTCCCTTCATCAAAACTCAATCAACGTCTCACAGACTACATGTAAGTAGGGCTACATAATGGATAACACTGAAACATGGGAAACTCTACAAAACACACAAAGGTCGATTACATTATTACCATTTGCTTACACTACTAAACGAAGTCTGTACGTTATAAAATATGGACCTATGAATCAACTATTTCCTTGGACATTTGTGGAAACTTCATTCATATTTCATTCTGAAATTTATTAGTTTAATCGGAAAGAGTTCCATACCTGGACATCACTTGACACCCTGTGCACAAACCCTATGAGACTGGTCTGAAAAATTCCAAGTGTTTTCTCAGTAAAAGCTTCAATATTCTCCCTGCTAAATTTGATTTTTTTAAGACATGCTATCACTTTCTGATGGCTGATAGTTCACTGCAGGGAAAAAATGAGTGATGTCCATGTATGTATGGCATTCTTCCCTTTTATTTTTAATCAAACAGAATTAGACGGCCTAACATTTCAATCCTAACAGAAGCTGTACCAAAGTTAAAATGGAATCTTTGTCAAAGGCAAAATTATTATTTTGTTCACAACAGATTTCCAGTATTTCTTTCAATTGACCCAGATATTTATTATTTGAAATCGCCTTCAGACCTTTTCCTACTGAAAAAATTCCATTAGTTTTACACCTATGAATGGTACTTCAGAAAATTCTTTGGATTTTTTTGTCTCGCACGACATGCATGACTTCATTTTGTTGGTGTAAGAATTCATTGCGATTGTGTAGTGAAGGGCCCTGTTCCCTATAACTTAGGGAAGGAAAATGCTTTGTTAGGTTATTGGACTTACCAAACTACATGTAGTGAGTGACATTACAAACCAACATGTATGAATGCCGTAGATATAGGGCAGGGTTTTTATTTTTTGAGGGAAATTTTTGAGGTAAATCGACGACGAAGATCGACAAAACGCAACACCAAAATAAAGATGGTGATAACTGCGGGAGTGCGGGGCACAATGATGAATGAACACGCAAAACCGCATTGATTCGCAAGGCACCAACAGTAAAAAGCGAAAGAAAATCACATTTTCTACTGCAAGAAACTGTTCAAAATAACCAAAAAAAATTAAATGATGTCATTAGAATTAACAGAAGTCTGCTTTAGGTTGAAAAAAGTCATTTTGGAATGATAAAAAAACACCCTTGACTGTAATTGGACAAAAACTCAAGAGGGCCCTTCACTTCACTACAAAATATGACAGTCGCCAAATTCGTAGGGTTTAAAATAACATGTTTTCAATCTGCAAATCAATTCATTGGGCTAAAACATTAATTTTACACTCAATATTTAATTTTCTAACAATGCTTGCGGTGAAAAAGAATTTGCATAGAGCAGTTACAGACCGCGTATTTAGAGTTCAAAAGTGCACGTACACAACCGCATCGACCACTGATTGCGGTCACCCATATCAATCTCGCAAGCCGCACTGCTGTTAACTACATCATGGGCGTACGACCGTACACGTACCTGCCGTTGTGTACGCACTGACTGCCCGTCACCCGTCCAGCGGTACGCGGCCCCTGCGCGCTTTCACCGAAACTCAACCAACCAACAAATCGGAGAGCTTTAAAAATGGAGGCAAATCAACTTACCTCTGGCAAAAGATCAAATCAAAAGCTGGTTTTACCGCACGCACGCGAGCCGGTATATTCCGGGCGATCTGGGCGAGATGTCCAACTCTTCGGCTGCGGTCATTTCTGCGTGGTTTAGGATACTGTGCCGCTGAAAAAGAGAAAATCTACAACAAAGAACTCCCACTGGACGCCATCTTCCACATGTGCCATCGAGATCAATTTTTATTTTTTTCACGGAGACCGCAAAAATGCAAGGGCGCCCTCAATGAGAAGATGGCGGCTCGCATGGGAGGTCGTGTTGTGGTTTTTGGTGTGGTTTTGGTGTCCGTTTTGTCTCCTTTTGTAGGGGCTCTTGGTGAAGATAGCTTCCGGGAGGAATTGTTCTTCAAGCCTCTGCAGAGTGGGCATGTTTACTCGCACTTCCAGTTTACAACAAACTGGAATGTGAGCCACACAAATAATGTGAATGAAAGTATGTTTCTGCATGGTTTTGTATACATTTTATACTCAGGCCTAATTACACAGTTCAAAGCAGTGGGATGCATATGGCTAATTCATATAAATTAAAATATTAAACTCACTCTACTTTTTTTAAATTCCTGATATTACCTCATACAATGTATTTGTTTCACTTGACAATTTTGTGGCCGATTGCCCTTAAAAATTTCATCGTTAAACTAAAACAAAACAGCCCTAAATTTTTTTAGTGAATTCCAAACAAATGAAAATGAAGAAAATAGTGTTTTTAAGTTTAGTTATTCACATTCACTGTGGATCTGCGAAATCGCCATGATCGGTCGATCACGCTGCACCATCATTTGATCGTACAGCCATCGGTCGATCGTTGCCATCGATCGATCACCTTTATTTTCTAATTTATGGCTCTGAAGGATGGTTTTGAAAGAGGGAAATAAAGTCTCAGATTTTCTACAGAATCGTCCCATCACGCAAGTGCATTTCTGAGCGATTGAGTAATAGCGTAGACTAGATCCACTGATCGCACCCAACAACAATTAAAGTACAAAGAGTCATCTCATGTGTATCACAGAGAAACTCTCTATTCAAAATCAAATGGAGCATTTGACAGAATATCAATAATCTGTAGTATCAAAAATCACAAGACCACTGCAATGGTTTGTTCATATGGTAAATAATGGACCTGCATTTGAAATCACTGGACTCGTTATTCTGAGCCACGTGGACTAGGCCATCCATTTCAGTTGATATGCCCTGTGCATTACACATTCTTGCCATCTCAAAATCTCCAAGTCTTTTTTTGTAACTCCCAAATCTCCTTTCTTTCTTTCCAACTCACAGTGTCCCACTACAACCTGTTTCCCAAGGCTCTGGGGCAGGTCGTCGCAAAGTACTCGGTCCAGGAACTTCACCTCTCCCTGACCCAGGGGCAGTGGAGGACCGAGAAGTGGGGGTATCCGATCACGTCTGCTCCCCCCGGGCACAACTGTGGGTCTGGTTCAAACCCTCCACGCCAAAGTGAGTACGTTGGGTACGATTGGATGGGTTGGTTTAGTACAGATGGGATTAGAACTGCCCAAATTCAATGTAGTGTAATTGAGTGGAGCAGGATCTGAACCCAAGACCTGTTAAAAACAGGTCTGGTGCTTTACTTAACCCTAACCCTGCTGAATCCAACAGGATCCAACTATGTGTATGTCACATACCCGATGGAGCCTGTTGGATTGAGCAGTTAACCCCATGTGTGCATTCCTCATGCAAAATGTTGGATTCCGCAGGCAACTGAACCGCATTATAATGCATTGTTGGACTCCGTTGGATTCAACAGACAACTGAAAATAAGGCACAGTGGATTGAACAGGAAAGTCCGGTTGGACTGTGTTGGATTTAGCAGGGTAGTCCTGAGGAACTAGTAGGGGGTTAGGGTTGACTGAGCAGCCCTATGTTGGTGGTCCTTCACAGATCACCAATGTAGGGTTGGATAGCTCAGTTGGTAGAGACCAGAGTCAGTGGTCCAGAGGTACCGGGTGCGATTCCTGCCATCATTAGAAATGAGCCTACTCAGTTTCCCGTCACGATTTGTATGATAAAATCCAGTCTCATGAAGTTCAGGATATAGAATGTAGAGCATAGCCACTATGGGCTCCATGCACAAGTACCTCCTCAACGGTACGAAAGGGAGAGTTGGGGGAGACCACTCGGAGACACATTCGATTCTGGCAGTTCTAATTCAACCTGTACTGAACTTAATCATTCGAATGCATTGCCGATGACGCCTGACACTCACACAAAGACCCTATGGCTTTGTACACATTCAGAATAGAACTAGTGGTGTGTACTTCGCACCTTACGTGCGAGCCAGTTCGCACACGCGGTGTGCTCTCAAAAGCGCCCTCTTCTGTTCACGCACAGAGCCCATTGTAGGTTGGGAAATACCAAGCCAACAATAGGGATAAGTTTGTCAACCTAGAATTTCTTGTGCATGTCAAATAGAAAAGCTGTCTTTGATTATACAGCTTCCTACTTTTGTTCTTTTAATTTCAAGTATTGACGAGTCGTGGAAGGGACTCATCAATGCCCTCTCTGGTTTGTTCTGTGCTTCACTCAACTTCATCGACGACACCAACTCGGCCAAGCCGAAAGTATCCTTCAAGCCGGCTGGGCTGGCCTCAGGTACGGAACCCTTCCAACGTTCCCCTCGTAAAATAGAAGACTCAGAGCTGAATGTTGTCTTGCCCCATTTCCATCTTCAACCTTCCGTTTGTCTCTTCTGTTTTGCATTGTCAAATCTGTTTGTTCGATCTTCTCCATAACCCTGTCATTGCAAGGGCTGACAATTTTTTCTCAGTTCATATTAAACGATGAATTATTTTTCTTATGATTTGTTTACTTTTTATTTGAAGAATCTTATTCCAAGAACTCAGCCAACATGCGCTATGCCTCCTTGCCCAGAGAGAACGTCTGCACTGAGAACCTGACGCCCTGGAAGAAACTCTTGCCTTGTGATTCCAAGGTAATTCCTGCTTGACACGGGCGTCCCAGAGTCACGTCCAACCAAACCATTTTAGGAGCGACTGTGTTTTAAATAGGACATTAATATGTCGTTTTCATTGACTAGACGCTGGCGTCATTCTTAACCGCTGCAGTCAATCTTTCAATGATTTGAACTTGTAGTTGCTACTAATTGTTTAAAAACATACATTTATTTTCATTTCAAATCTCATGAATCATTTGGTCTAGTACGAAAGGGATCTGAACTAGATCTGAATGTTCGTTACAAAAGGGATCTAAAGTAGGAAAAACCATGTTTATGTAAAAAATTAACATGGCATTTTGACATTTTCAACCAATCAATGAACGATGAAAATATTGAGATTAACCAAATAACTGGTGATATATGAAGCACAACTACAACCTTGAAGTCATATTCCATTTTGAGAGCATCACTTGCATTTCTTGGATATGTCTTTTTTCTCACAATTGTTTAGGTTTTACTCATGCAAAAAGTTAACATCATTCAATTTTTGTGTTGTAAATTTTAGTGTGTTGAGAGAAGATTGTATCACCTAACAACCACTTTAAAATATTTTTTTGACATAATCACTTTTCATTTTAATACCTATGCTTTTATCTTGGCCTTCAAATGCTTTTCATCCCAAATCCTCAAACATTTGAACACAATTTTGTTTCGATTTAGTCACTACTGAAAAAAAATGCGTTTTTTTCCCTCCCTGTTTTGCAGGCTGGCCTTTCCACTCTCTTCCACGCAGGCAACCTCTACAATGCCAACTACCATTCCCTAGCCGTCGACCTGCGGCCCGTCTGCGATGATTACCCAGCCTGCACCAGGCCGGCCTTGGAGCTCAGCCAATCCCTGGCCGTGGTGTTCAACCCGCCAGCCAATCACGACGGCAAGCAGGACTGGACGCTCAGAAGCCTGTTTGAGCGTCCGTTGAGCACGACGTGCCCCATGGCCAACGAAAGCAAGATCTATGTGGATATCACCGAGAAAAGTGTTAGTTTATTAACGCTGAAACAGGCATTGATTTATGATGTGTATTTATAAAGTGTAGGCATCCACTAGTATTGGTGCTTAAGGCACTACATCATTATTACCCTGCTCATTGGGCCAATGAAACATTCCCAATACTATCTCAGCTCCCTGGGGAGTATACAGCTCGATGCTGCCATTTTGGCACAAAGCAGCTTAAATCAACCGCAATAACCATCTCTGCCGTCACAGGTACCCATTTACTCCTGGGTGGAGAGAAGCAATGAGTGACAAAGTACCTTGCCCAAGGGCACACGCACCATCGCCGCAGGCTGGACTGGAACCCACAACCTGCGGAATTACCCCAAGACCATGAATTCAATCCTCCAGAACATGAGGCCATACCACGGCTTGCAATAACTGTATTTGACAATGGACCCATAGCTATTGTATTATGTACACACACTATGGATTAAAGGCATACGCACTCTGCACTCGGGTTTTATTCCAAATTTGGAATCTTTTAACTGTTAATGGAGCATTGGAGACAGCAGAGCTTAATTTTGAGTGTACTTTTTAATTCTGAGTGTACTTTTTACTGGCTGTAAATTGTTTTACCTAACAGACCAGAAGAATTCAAGGTTAGGTTAAATATCCGTTATTCTTTTCTCAGTGCATAATTTGTCTCTGCGTGTGTGTTATATTTTCTCCAGGAGTCTAACCCATGGTTGCTTACACCAGAATCCACGACAGTCACCAACAACAGGGGGCGCACTTACACTGTTTACGATTTGAAGGAGATCACAAAAGAGCACAAGATAAATGTGGCCATGAAGTGGAATGACAGTGTGCACTATGGTAGGTATATTGAGATATTATCCCCTCATACATATTCATGAGCCAAATGCACTCCTGTCATTGGTCGGTGTTCTCATGTCCGGGAAGTAAGGTAGCTTCCCCGCACGGATGACACCCATGTCGCCCAATAGGTCGGTAGCACAAGGGAAAACCCAAATATTAGCTACTAAGCTCTAAAATGCAGCAATTGAAACTACACTAAAAACATCAAGAATGATAAATATGCATTTTATGGGAGGGATATTTCATTGAATTTTGTTGAATATTCATAACGGAGCTTTGCATCCGGAGGTAGTCAAATCAGTCATGTGACACTCTCAGCCAATCAAGAGATAGTTTGTTGGTAAGGTGTCACGAATCCTAATGTTGTCTCTTGTTCCGGCAGCACCGGTGAGGCCACCCCACCTGCACGCCCACCGTTTCCTGTCGGGTTTTGGCCAGGAGCGTGGCGGTATCACCTGCCAGCTCTTCAACCATCACCCTACCGAGGCCCTGCCCGTGGTGTACATGGAGACAGTGCCCTGGTTCGTTAGGCTGTACCTGCACACACTGAGAGTGGAGAACAACAAACGTGTAGTCAAACCAGGTATGAATAACAGTAAAATAGCTAGCAAAATCCGCCAAAATCTACAAGCTGATCAATCCAGGATTGTACGGCCCAACCGCTACTTAGAATGTGGCCCGTTGGGTGTCCAGAGCTTTGGTTACATCCATAGCCGTGTCCGCATTGGATTTTTTTGGGTAAAATGTATGGAGACTGTTGTTAACTTGACCAAATTAAGTCCAGTGCAGGCAGCCGGTAAACTCTCCAAATTGTTAAGTGTCGATCGTCGGTGGTTCATTTATCCCTCCGCAGCGGGATGTTTTACAGGGCCAAGCGGGTCACGGAAGAGTTACATTGTCAGTTTTATGTCACTGAAAAGTCCCATGCGGAATGCCGCTACAATGTAAAGCATACATTTTGATCAGGTGGTTTATGTGATTAAGGACTTTCCGCGGGCCATGAGTAATCCAAGTGTAGATGCATGGTAGAATAACCACAGTGGAATGTTAACAATCACTAACGGTAACTGTTTACAATAGTTAGTCCAATGCGAATGCGGCTTATGACAGCAAGTTCCCATGTAGTTTCAATAAATGAAGACCGAGGCAATAGTTTCAGACAACAGGTGGTTCCACATTTGCTCACACATTACACAAATCTTGAATTCATGATGTGTTTGTAGTTTGTGAAGCTGCAAACACATCATTGAAGGTGAACGGATTGAGGAACACACATGCTGTGGATTGTGGAACACTTAATGCATGCATGCATATGAGCATTAAAACATTCTTGAAATGGCAATACACAACTTTTGAAAAGCAAAAGCTGAATGGCATTGTTGCAGTCGAGTCCATCACAGGTACTCACAAGTCAATCACAAGTCCTCCAGTCCATAATGTCGATCATAAAATATTCAAATGAACTGTGAGAAAAGCTTTATATTGTTCATCCCTATTACTTGTGAATGGATTTATGAATGGACTTGCGATTTACTAGTGACTGAAATTGTGAGTGGACTTGTATTCAACTTCAACACTACTGAATGGTTTCATCTGTGTCCTTACAACAGAGAAGCAGCTGTACACCCCAGGTAACGACCGATCCAACCCATACCTCCTGGAGATAGTCTTGACCCTACCGCCTCAGTCGGTTACCACTCTCAGCATCCAGTTTGACAAGGCTTTCCTCAAGTGGACTGAGTACCCGCCCGATGCCAACATTGGCTTCCACATCAGGTGAACTTCTGAAAATCTTGCCTTGCTTGAAGACTAGACATATAGAAAATTTGCATTCATCCCAAAAGTAACCTGCCGAAATATCAAAAATCTTACTCGGATTAAAGATTGTACTGGTACTAAACACCCCGTGAAATTATTCCATCTGGCTTGCTGCCATTTAGAAAACACCAAGAAGTGTATTTGATTTCCGACGGTCAGTCAATTGACTGATTTTTGGAAATTAAGAGAGCTATTGACAAAACATTTTTTTTGTGATCAAAAGGTTGCCCGTGGTTTTTCACTGATTTTTTTTTTCTCGAAAAGTGTAATATCCACTCAGCTGAAATTTTAAAAGTTTAGGTTTTGAACATTCTTCTTTTGGATTTTGAGTGGTGCTATTATTGGAAACGAACAAAATTCATAAAAAAACAAATGATCCTTGGATGCCTTAAAGTCCTCTTGTAGTGTGTGAGTTTTAAGGATTGAGCACATTGTTTCACAACACAAAGAGAGCACCCAAAAATCCTACCCATAATGATGCCCACTTTTCATATTTTGAATTGTTACACAGTTCCGCAATTGTGTCTGCCCTGATGCCTTCGTACGCCAACTTCACAGCAACAGATCTGCACAGTGCCAGACTGCATACAAGGTTTGTATGATTAACAGACGTCTAACATAGTCCTGTTATTGGAGACTAGCGTGGATTCAATCAAATGAAGTTAGTCTTAGGACTCCGTGCATGCACAGTAGATGTTGCTTTTCGACTGGGTTTGAAAGACCAGTGACCAGGACACACTGCATGCACGTACTGGTTTGCTCGAGTATACACAATGAATATTATTCCACAGGGCGGTCCCCAAAAAAAAGTTTACATTTTTTTAGATGCAGATTTCTCAAAACTGGGAAGACATGTTGAATTTGTTTGAAGTTATTTGAAAACTACAAGATCTTGGTGGTATATGGTGAAAATATTGTTGAAAATAAAGCCTACATTAAGAAATGGCGGCCATTTACAGAAACATGGTCAAAAACCAGTTTGTCCACACGCAAGTCTATAGCCGTGTCCGCACTGGACTTTTTTTTTTGAAGGTTTTACCGAGACGATGGTAAAATGAAAAATGGTCAAATGTGACCACTGTCCGCACTTGGACTTTCGACACGGGAAATTTTACCCCGACCGCGTGGGAGAAGTAACCGAGCTGTCACAGTGTCAGTATAATGACTCACCGTACGCAGAAAACAAATTGCCGATCACATTTTCAGCCACCGATACGCTCAGTAATATTACACACGCCATTTGCATGCATAACATAATCGTTTACACGATATTATTTCATCTTGACACGCTAAATCTTGACGAAAGGGCCTATAATTCTGACGCATTTGTGATGCACGTCGTCGAAGCCATGCCGCTGTACGATGTTCCGTGCGGCAGCAGTGCCATCAGTATTCGTTGGTTCCCATCGCATGCTTACAGAATCGAAGCTATGATGTGGGCCAGGAACCAGTGACTACGGCCTACGTACGGTACCGGACCATGATGTTCCGTGCATGACTACAGTAGCGTATCAGGACGAATTTGGATCGTAGAAAATAACAATACATCGGTGGAGAAAGAGAATTTCCGCAAATAAATTCTCAGAATGTGATCTCTCTTCTCTGTGTATGTATTTGTCCGTTGAAATATATATTTTAACGAGATTTTACCGCTCGGACTTGATAATACACCGCAGCGTGTTTCTACAAAATGTTCGGCCACTGCACGTGCAGGTTCGTGCGGTCTCTGTATGCATAACAGGGCGCTCGGGCCGGATGTACGCTTTCCTGAGCCGCTTTTACCGACTCGCACTGTCCGCACTGGACTAATCGTCTCGGGAAAAGCGACTCGGTCAGTTTTCCTGGGCGCGTGGGAAGTTTTCCTGGGCAGCAGTTGGCCAGTAAAAGTAACCGCTGGACTCAGGAAAAGTAACTGAGAGGAAAACGTCCTAGGCTGTCCGCACTGGACTTAAAATGGGAAAAGTACCCATAGTCTCGGTTAGTTTGACCAAAAAAAGTCCAGTGCGGACAGGGCTTATGAGACATGGTCAAACAATAGCACTGCGTGCACAAAGAAGTGCAATAACAATGACCATATCTCAAACACAAGTGTGGACAAATTGGTTTTCGACCATTTTTCAGTAAATGGCCGCCATTTCTTAATTCAGGCTTTATTTTCAGCGCCGGTTTTACAATATATACCAGCAACATCTTATAGTTAAGGAATATCTTAAAAACAATTTCAATATGTCTTCCCGATTTTGAGAAATCTGAAAAAGTGTTAACTTTTCTTGGGGGACCACCCAGTACATGAACAAAGCTATAGCGTCTTCATGCGAGTGTCAGGCATCATCGGCAGTGCATACGAATGTCTCTCCCAGTGGTCTCCCCCAACTCTCCATTTTTAACCGTTGAGGGAGTACTTGTGCATGACGCCCCAACTTGTCAAACAATCATATAAGATTTACAGAACAACTTTGCACTAGGCGTCTGTCGCAGTCTGAATGATCTCAACTCTGTCCTTTTGTCTTGCAGCACGGTCAGTGACCCCATGCCCGGCACCCCCTTCCTGCGCATCTACACCGAGCCCCTCCTGATCCAACTCCCCGTCCCTGACTTCAGCATGCCGTACAACGTCATCTGCCTCACGTGCACCGTCGTGGCCATCGGCTTCGGGTCTCTCCACAACCTCACCACGCGCCGCTTCGTCCTCTCGCCGACCAAAAAACCCACAGGGGGTCTCAAGTCCAAGATCTTGAAGTTCTTCGGGCGGTCTCCGGCCAAGGAGGAAGGGAGCACGCCCGCAGATGAAGAGAAGGAGGAGGAGAGAGTTGTTCGGGATAGAAAGGCCGGTGGTGATAATGGAAAAGACTTGAGAACTGAAGACAGTTGATGCAATAAACCAGACTTTTGAAGTTGATATAAGTATGCACTAGAATGATTTAATTTTATGTATATAGCTTTGTTAAATCACTTTTTGCAAATTGCACTGAAAAATTTCATTAATTGCACATTTTTATATAATTATACAGTTCTTAAGATGTCATTTAATGACAGGATACAAAGGTTATTGATAAATTTCAAGCAGTTTTTCTAAAGGAAACAGTTTACAGTAGTGATTGAATGATTTTTCATCCTCATCTGCTCTAAGTAAGTACTGTAACTCCAAACTCATTCTTTCTTGCAGCATTGTCAGCTATTTCATACACCACCTCATTTCAGTAATCCTAAATATGCTCTACATTGTCTTCCTTATGTAAATAAAGCTTAATTGTTATTTTAAACCAAGCCGGAACTTTGTTGAACTTTGTAAATGAATTCTCTATTAACATTCTCGAAAGGAACTTTGTTGGGTTTTTTTCTCCATCTTCTTCTTCTCGGGTCATCACACCACTCCCTCCCAGTGTTGAGCACATAAAAATGTAACACAAATGATATTACATGTATTTTTAATTTTACTGATGAGCTCTATAGAATAACTGTACCTGGCACATTTGTAAAGCGCTACAGGAAACAATATTATTAACCCTCCCTCTCTCAGTGACAATCTGTAGCCCTACGAATCAAAATCTATCAGGTTACAAGTTTTAACAGGTCTGTAAACTGGCCTCATATAAGCAAAATTGACAGGTTAATTAAAATGGCTACTACACAAGCTGTAGCAGTATTAATGGTCAACCAATCGATCAAACCAGTTATACGAAAATCCATAGGGATTTCTGGTAGTTGGTGACCAGCCTGTACAAAAGAGAGAGTTAGGGGTTGGGTTTTTTGACAGTTTGTTATAGTTATAAGTAAAGGAGGGTTTTAAAAGCACAAACGGAATCAGAATTTATGTTTCTTTTCCCTGGACAAGAAAATCAACAGAACAGTGACAAATAAGGATGGAGGGCAACGAAACGGGACAATACGATTTCAAAAGCAAAAACTAAACAAGAACACAAACTTAACATCTAAACAGGACAATCAGTAGAATAAATGTACATGTACATCAAAATTAGGTTTTCTATCAACTTCCTCTTATTTGTAAATGATAGCCAAGAAAATATAAAAGGGGAAAGGTTTCCCTTGTCTGAGTATCTGCTAAAAATATACAAAACTGATTACTGTCGGAAGCATCAAAACCAGTTTGGCCTTTGACCTCTTCTTGACTAACCTATCTCAATCTGGTTAAAGAACATGTATAAAGCCAACAATCTGTGAGCAATGGTCATTACAGTAATAAAGATTTCCCATTTTCTCAAACATGTCTTGAATACTGTAGTTTTATAAACAGAAAAAAAATGGCTGAAAGGCCACATATGAATGCATTTCTAAGACACTTTTCATGTACCACCTTTAAATTTATCAAATACATCAATTACTCAAGAAAAACAAAAACAATACCACAACCGACGCATAATACATGTATGTGAGATCTTTTCAACTCAAAAACAATGAGTTCTGACAAAATGTGGATCAGAAACTTATTTGTAGGATACCTTTACTGCTATCAACAAGTATATTCAGCCCTAAGTTGGCACTCCTCGGTTTACTTTTCAAGTCAATCTGTGTAAAGAAATGTAACAAGTACACATAATATCATTTGTGAACTTCATGATTCTGTTTACAAGTATTTCAGTTCAAGCTATAATGTAAAAATGGATTACTGGATTCATTAATTCAATTCTTAACTTAGTTTTAAAAAAAAAAGGGTTTCTGATCAATGGGAGTGCAACTCCCTAAATGTACATTTCCAAACTGTTGTAACATCTACTTTTTTGTGTGGCCTGCTGAACAGGGGTAATATTGTGTTATAAATGTACAGAGAAAATGGTGTGTGTGACTGCGCGTATGAAATATATGCATCTCTGGTTCTATCAGGTATGCCACACAGTGTCATTAACAGTTGCTGTGAAGCACTCTCACAATACAGTGTTGTAACTAGGAGGGGGAATGTGGGGATGTGGGTAACTCCCAACCCAATTTCTGTAACCAAATTTCTGCAACCCGAGTCTTAGCATCAAGCAAAATATTTGCAATGCTTCCAGCCTTAGACACTGCAGTAACGACCGAGCTGATTGGCTGAGTACGTAGCAGCACCTTCAGTCTTCATTCATTAATTGATCAGTAAGATTTTATCTATAGGCTATTATAGATAAAACTGGTTGTGTTGCTCGCTATCTGAGTACATGTAGATGTATGCATCTCCCAGTAACCTCTCGATGATCTCAGTCAGTTGCTTGCCCTCGATGCGGGCCTTGATGTGATCCACGTCCACCCATCTCCGGAAATCCTTGAGGTGTGTGACCTGAGGGATGTAATAACCCTGCTGGTCACCTTAAAAAAGAAAAAAAGACATGAACAAAAAATCAATAAATATAGTATATATGCAGTGGCGTCGCCAAGGGGGGGGGCAGGGGGGCACGTGCCCCCCCTGGAAAACCTAGTGCCCCCCTGAGTGCCCCCCCCCCCCATCAAATGCTGGTGCCCCCCTATCCTCTGCAAAATTCTGTGCGTTGTTAAAATCATTACCTCAAAAATAGCAATTTCTTGAGATATCTTCAGATCGAATTTAGCATCAAATGTGGCACCATTTTGCATCTAGCCCATCCTCCGTATGCGAAAATTTTCCAAAGGGGAGGGGGGCACCCCCTCCCCTTAGACCCCTCCCCCAGGACAGTGATCCTTATCCACCTAAGTGACCCCCCCATCAAATGCTGGTGCCCCCCCTGTGCCCCCTCCAGACTGAAAAGTCTGGTGACGCCACTGTATATATGTCTACAGATGTTATGACTAGCCCTATTTTGTACCATATTTTAAAGGTAGAGATCATTTGCAGCTATCCAAAAAATAACTGACCAAATTACTGTTGAAAAGCTTACTTGGTTCAGGGTCCAGACCTGTAAACAGACTGCCATAGACCTTGGTGGTAATTACGCACATTTCCCAAAATTATAATACTCACAACTCTCTGAGGTGCTCAAGACATGCATCAAATTAAGCTTATTTCGTCATCCTTCATTTTCTGTTCAATATTTTTTGGGGGCTAACCAATGACTTTTGGGAGAACATTTCATCCAAAGATGATCACCCCTACAAGCAGTCCTGAAGCTCATCGCCATTTTGAAAATGGACGCCTACGCTCCATTGCAAAATAGAGCCCTTTTAGGGTCTATTTTTCATCCAAATTTCACAGAACTTAATATGGGTTCGCAGTCCTGCACAGCTACCACCCTTCTTTTTTACAAATCATCAAGTTCATGGCCCTCAAAATGCTCTTATACATGTACCGGGGAATTTGAGGGCATGCAATCGTGATGCGGCCGACGTAAGCAATTTTGTACCGATTTACTGGACTGCGCACCCCTAAACTCCCTGTGAAATTATTCCTTCTCAGGCATGCTGACATTTTAAAGAAAACCAGGAAGGTCATTTCCAATGTTAGAAATTTCTTTTAGTAGTTGGTTTTGTATAGTTTTGGGGTGAATCCATAAATGGGTGCACGCAAGCGTTGACACAATGCTTACATGCACATGGTTGCATTTATTTGTTGGTTCAGTGCATGACATTGCGTAGCTGCATTCAGTTGAATGAGAATGTGGTCTGGACGCTGATTTCGGGTGCAATTTAAAATATGACTCGGCAACTTTTGAATTGAAATCCAGATCCTAGAATATTGATTTCTTGGAACAAACAGCATTCAGAGAGATAAAACTTTATTATGTTAGTTGTTAAGCAGGGTGCCGGTCAACTCGGTCCGTGACCAACTCGGTCCGTGACCAACTCGGTCCGAGTCAACTCGGTCCGTGACCGACTCGGTCCGTGACCAACTCGGTCTGTGACCAACTCGGTCCGAGTCAACTCGGTCCGTGACCGACTCGGTCCGTGACCAACTCGGTCCGTAACCAACTTGGTCCGTAACCAACTCGGTCCGTAACCAACTCGGTCAGTAAACGACTCCATCCGTAACCAGCTCGGTCCCTATGGGAAAACGTGTGCAAAACGACTGCATTTTCTTGTAACAAGGCAGGGCGGTCTCGAGTGTGTTTTTTCCCCAGATCTCCGTACGCACTTTATAGTTTCTGTCATTTGTCTGTTGCCTCAATTTTTAGGTAGCATGTGGACACAGCGCCAACGGCCATCGCCACGGTGCACGGCCGGTGGCAGTGCCACGCCTGGCCGCACAGCGCAAACGGCCATCGGCACGGTGCACGGCCAGTGTCAGTGCTGCACCTGGCCGCACAGCCCCACCGGAGCTGGTTACAGACCGAGTTGGTCACGGACCGAGTTGACCTGAAAGCGTTTAAGCACCATGCATCTTTAGATTTTGAGCAGTTTTGTTACTTTAAACGAAAAAAATTCACAAATGACAAATGATCTACTCTTATAATAATAATAATAATAATAATGAACACTTGGTAAAGCGCCGGTATCCATCAGGCATGAGGCTCATGGCGCATACATACAAAGAAAAACATTAATTACAAAAACGACGTAGAAACAGATGGTTTTTGAGGTTAGATTTGAATGCAGACAGGGATTTCATTTGGCGTAGTTCAAGTGGGAGATTGTTTCAAAGTTCCGGGGCAGCATGAGCGAAAGTCGGTTGACCCCACGAGTTAAGCTACAATTGTGACTGGTTATGAGGTCACTTAGAAATGATTTTTGTGACGCCTGTAGACATTTCCTTATGAAAAAAAAAATGTGTGTCTAACAAATTTTAATACTGGGTTTTCACACTTCACTGCTGTAACGGATCTGAGTACTGAAAAAAAAAAAGTACTGAAAAATTTCAAAAGAAAGGTGGGACTCATGATCTCTTGCTTACAAGTACACTAATTGTTATGCGCATCTGAATATTTTTTATGCAAATTTACCATTTACAAAAGTACCATTTGGGAGACACCTTAGCATCAGAAGTGATACCTTTAGGAGGCGGGGGGAACTAGAAATGGCTCCCTAATGCCTCGCATATATCAGCTCCTATTTAGAGGCAAAGCTGGATCGATTGCTCATTGTCCAACACTTAAATATACCATATTGGGGTAGGATAAGGTAAAAATGGGGTTAGTGGTTATTAATATGGTGATTGGATTGCACAACAAGTAAAGCCCAGAGCATGAAGTTAAGTCTATGAGTAAGCCTCATATCTCGCTGTGGTCCACCCCTTACCAGGGACTCACCTCCCAAAGCCATGGGGTCCAGACCCCGTACCCCAAGCTGGCGTGCAAACGCCTTCCGCTACAATTTACAAAGTTGGAAAACATTGTGCACAAGTCTGTGGCAATGTCTCATTAAGGTGTCGCCGTATTGTTTTAAGTACCATTTGGAGAAGGAATTTTAGTGTCGCAAATAGCTCAAAAAGCTTAGTTGGGAAGAGAAACCCTCAAATATGGAGTTTTGTGGGGGTAGGGTCAGTTTAAAATGGGGTAGGGGTCACTGAGATTTATCCGCAAGTAAGTCTATATGAAATGGTAGTCCATTTAAAGTATTCAGTGAAATTAAACTACTGAATACTGATTAGGGTAACAGAATTTGCTTATTATTGCTATATGACGGCGACACATCTCATTGGGGCGACAAGTTTGCGTCGCCTTATTGTCAAAACTACCCTTATTAGGAGAAGGAATTTTGCTGTCACAAATAGTCTAGATCAATTGCTCGTGGTCCAAAATATAGATATAGGTTAAATGATAAGGCTATTGGGTTAGGGGTCGTTTTATGTTTGTGCACAACTCTATGGGAGTGTCGCCCTATTATAGCATTAGTAGTAATTATTATTATTATTATGCCTGATTCAAAGCACTGAGCTATCCCGCTGTCGCTTGGCAGATTCCTAGTCCAATTTTTTTTGTCACATACTTACCCTGCCGATCGGCCATACTGTCAAAGAACACCCATTCCGAATCCTTCTCCCTTCCGGCTTTGACAAACGCTACGTAGTGACTGGTCCGGATGCAGATGACAGCAAACAGGTCCATCATCTTGGGGGTCAGTAATCTCTGACGGTGCTGGTCTACTTCCTCTTCCGAGAAACCTTTTCCCATTGTCTTAGAGAAGAATTCCTTCAGGAAATGGTCTGGGACGGTCAGGGTGGTGGGCTTGTGGTCTGCCCGTCGGGTACCTACATGCATCTGGTTTGTGGGAAAGAAGAAATGAATACAAGGATTCACAATACAGAATAGAAATCCAACCTTTTCTGCTAAAAGTAGACTTTGCTATAACAACATTAAAAAAAAATCAAAAATTGAAGGAAAAAAAATTGACTGAAGCGGGGAATGATCCTGCCCCGGTACTGTAATCCTTTGATGTTCTATCATGTCTCAGACTATGAGTACAAAATCAGTAATCAGTGTGATTAACTGTATAGGTCACTAAATGTGACTTACCACATTGAAACAGTCATCACAGTAGTTCTTGATTGGTATGGTATCATCTTCTAAACATTCCGCCGATTTGCAGGCACTGCACTCAAAGACGGCAAAACTGCCGCACACTGTACACGTCCTAGGATCTGTCACACAGACATATGCAAAACAGTAAAATGTTATGATGGAAGTTTTGGATCGACCTGGCATCAATGTTGTCCTATCCAGTTCTGGCATTCAAGTCAATTATAAGTCAAATTGTAAGTTCGATCACATGCAATGAGGGATAAACAAACTAGGAATGCCTTGAATAGCTTCTGACTTGTAAGAAATCTGCTTTAAATCAAATTCCTGCAGCCCAAAACAATTTCAAAAATTCTAGAGCTTAATATAGCCTGAACATTACTATCTTCCTGTGTTTAAGACAGAAAGCTCTGGTGGTTTTGTTGCTAAGACATAGACTTGCAAGTGCTAACTCATGGGTTTGAACACCTCTCAAGTCGCCAATGAATGATTTTTTGGAGTACGGAACTTCACCCTTATTTATACCAAATGACATGAACGATTTGCAGAAGTTCAGTCTTTACTTACATTCTTCAATGATATTTGTGACATCAAGCTGAAGCGATGGCAAAATCCAGTTGTACATTTTGTACTCTGTGCCAAATCTTGGCATCTGCACAATCAAGCATGATGGTGCCTGCAAAGAGAAAAACACAGAAATACGGAATGACTACGTAGATTTTTTGCTTTAACTTAAGCCTGATAAAACATATCACCACACTTGATCTGTTATGTCAGCCGTACATCCCAGAGTTGGGCTGAACAATATTTTTATGAAACTGGAACTTATTACGAGTGACTACCTGTGAATGATCGCCGTTTGCAGTTCTTTGAATTGACTCCAACTTGGAGAAAGCATAAAGCCAAAATCCTCCCAGATCTTTCAAAAATGTACCAGGAATTCCGAAGGATTATGCAGGATTAAAGAAGGCGGAGCCTAGTCACAATTACTTGACGAGAGTGTGAATCGATGCATTTTTATCCACAAATAATGTGCCATTTGGGTTCCAGCAAAGTGGTTGTTTTTTTAGAGGATGCAGAACGTTTCTTAGAATGAAGTCAGGTATAAGGGATCAATCTGAGCTTGAGGATTCAACTTTGGATTCAACTTTCTGATGTACGGGGTGGGGGTAGGGGGGGGGGGTTGTCTTCAAATATAAAAAAGGAAAGTTATTCAGAAAGAAACAGCACATGCCTGTAACCCCCCCCCCCCAGCCAAAGCTGGATCTGCCATGCCCCTGACTTTTTATGATCAACCAGCTGCAACAAGCAGCCAAGGAAAGAGGCAGCCACTGACTTGATTGACTTACCTCTACTAGTTTGAGGTCATGTTCCTGAAAGGACTGCAGTAATAGCTGCTCTACCGTCGGGAGTGTCAAGGACTCATCTTTCTCTAGGAATATCTGATGAATGTTGGACTCAGCCACGGCTTTGTTAGCACCGTGCCTGGGGGGGGGGGGGAGAATTGTTTAAGCAATCAGGTTGACATAATGTGTTTATGTCACAGTCAACCTAGATATCCTTTTCATCAAACTTTTCAGTCATTTTATTTTAATTATCACAATTACATCCAACCTATCCTTGTCACCACTTCAAGTCAAATCCACTGTCACTGTCATCGTCATGCATGATCATCATCATTGTCATCATTATTGTTATATACTCTAGATGTGGTCAGTCTCATCCTCACTGTTATGGCCCCTTCATTGTGATTATCACCTTCAATGTAATAGTTACAGTGACTATGTTATAATCACCTTGTCAGGGTTGCCTCGTCACAGTCACCTTGTCAGTCACCTTGTCACAGTCACCTCGTCGCAGTTATCTCACTGCAGTCATCTCGTCACAGTCACCTCATCGAAGTCATCTTGTCACAGTAACCTTTTTTTTCAATTCAATAATGGTTTATTATAATATCCACCTTTAGCAATGCAAGAACGAATTGTGGTTGGATTTACAACATCAAAACATTAACAATATAAGACAAACTATTATTACTAAAATGTTTTTTTAAGTATCATGAATAAAAACGGTTTAAAAGTTATATGTATATGCAAGTAAACATATAAACTGAAGAAAAAAACTTTCAAAACAGTAGTGAGATGAACATTAATGAAGCTCAGACAAAAATAGAATGGAATGAACAAAAAAAACAATATGGTAGAAAAAACAATAAGCTATCAAACTTTTAAAAGGGAAATGACATCGAACAATTAAAAAAAAAGAGAACTTCGAAAAAACAAAGAGAACAAGTTACTACAAAAATTAACTGACATACAAGAAAACCGTGGACAAGATATAAAGGGTAAACAAATACATATATAGACTGGGAAAACATAGACTTTCCAAAGTGTATAAATGAAAAAATAATGAATTTAAGAGTAAAATGGAATTAAACGAACCGAAAAACAATGTGGAAGAAGAAATGGAAAAAGTAAGTAATCTAAAAAGGGAAGTCACTTCGATAAAATTGAGAGAACACTTTACTGCAAAAATTATTTTACATTAAAACTGTGAACAAGGTATGGTAAGGCGCTACTTTTCCTTCTGTTCGTTTCACAATAAAATTCTGTGATTTTTGCTTTTAATGTCTGCGAGTCCTGGCATGGGAAGTTGTAAGGAGGAAGTCTTTGAACTGAGGTGTTCGCTTTAAAGTCTGATCAATCAATGAAACACAAAGCGATTGTCTGTGGTCTTCCAACGATTCAAGGGAGCAGCGGGAGAGGATTTCATCATATGTTGTGTAGGCAGATCCAAATACTGTCCGCAGTGCGCGTTTATGGATCCTCTTAATGCATTGTTTTTGGTATTGAGTCAGGGCTCCACTGCAGCCTCGAGTCCGAGTCCGAGTCTCGAGTCACAAGCATTGAGTCCAAGTCTGAGTCTTGAGTCACTTGTTCTTAGTTGTTGACCAAACTAATCCCTTTTTTTTTAAATATTTTTTAATCATCCATTCTGTCTTTTAAGTAAATCCCAGTGTATATAATTTACCTTGTGTGTGAACATGTTGTTTAGACCCAAAATGTGTTTTCCTTTTAATTCCCATCCCTAAAAAAACCTCCTCCGTTCCTTCCCTCCATGTTTTATCATCCAAACATTATTCAAACATTATACGATTTTCTGCAGCGCCATGTTTTGTCTATGGAGTAACAAAGAATGCTACGTTTGTCGCACAAATACATAACGTTATGTTTTTTCTTTTGATGAAAATAGGTGACTCGAGTCACGAGTCACCAAGCTCGAGTCCTCATGGCCGAGTCCCAGTCCGAGTCATTTTCCAATGTGACTCGAGTCGAGTCCGAGTCACGGAAAATGTGACTCGAGTCCGACTTGAGTTCGAGTCCTGGACTCCATTGAGTCCTACAACACTGCAGACTGGTGCTGCATATTCGGTACAAGGTCTGATCACATATATATAGTCAATAAATCCACATGTGGTACACTATGTTGCTTTAAAAGACGTAGCATATAGAATTTACTGTTCGCACGTTTTTTCGATATGTTTTGCATGTGTGTCCCATTTCAAGTCATTTTGGATGTAGACGCCTAATATCTTAGCGACACTTGCAAGTGGCAAGATTTTGGTTATCGATGGCGATGTCAGATCGAATCGAGGGATTTTGCATAAAGGAAATGTCCATTTTAACACATTTTGCAGGGTTCAGTTTCATTTTGTTGCTGTCAGACCATTCGGCAAGGTTATCTACTGCAAGTTGCATATTTGACGGTTGATCGGCTCCTCGACATTCAACCAATGTTAGATCATCAACGTACTTGAATGTGTGCAGTTGGTCAGATGGGTTTGCATCACTAATCGTTGCCAGGAAAATGATAACTCCGAGGTTTCATGCCCTGAGGTACTCCAGCATTAAGTATCGACCAGTCAGAGCAAGTGGAATGATATTGAACACACTGCTGGCGAGATGACAGGAAACTACAAATCCATGGAATATTGGCACTTCTCACTCCGAGATCAATCAATTTTACAGGGAATGCACAAAATTGGCTTTTGCTGCAATATTCAGAAATAAGTGCATTTGGAGGATTTATATGTTTTAGTAAATATTGTTAAACTGACTTGTTTTACGTTTTTGGCTTGTAGATGCTGGAAAAACCAAGAAAACCCATAATATTCTTGTAGTCTGGTTCCCTGACCCCACTTAGATGAAATGAAGCAATTTATAGACTTTGGGGAATTGTACGGGCAGAGTATCAATTTAGCTGGCTTGTACCCGTTCACAGGTGAGTAATCAATTGCAAAGAAAATGTGGAATAACTAAATATAAGAAATATGGAGTAGTTTTTGAAAATGGCCAGTTTTCTCCAGTGCTGGTCGGCCGACCAGCGTTGGAAAAAATACAATTTTTCTTGAAAATGTCAGGACACCAGGAGACACAATTTTACAGGATGTTTTAGACTTTCATTCCTTAACAATCCAGTAAGGTATTTGGTGATAATTGGATCATTTCGTTTTTTGATGTTTGCAAATGTTGTATCTTCCCTTTAAGGTTTAATTAATGATATATATATCGATACATATCTGTATCGGCATATTTTGATACGATATGATATATATGAATGTTAATATAATGATACAAAATGATACACACAACTGCGCCGGAATTTAAGGAAAAGAAGTGCCACCTACTTATATGAGCAACAGGAGTAGCGAGCTCAACAGAAAACTCACGAATAATGCGAGTGGAAATCCTGTCTGGCCCTCTGGGGGTCTTTTGTCGAATCTTGGCTATTGTCCTGTGTACTTCCCATGGGTATACAACCGAACGGGTACATAACAGGGTTCAGATCAGCAGACTTTTGAGATGGACAATTGGTTTATTGTGTTGGCGATGTTCCAGTAATCATCTGATGATATTCCTGGAACATGTATTTCAACATGGTTGCTTTTACACCTGTAAGAGCACGAATTTCCCGATACCATGCTGATGGGTTGCTGCATTTTAAGTGTTGGACCCGTCAGGAATAGTAGTGTGCTTTAGCTTTGGCAATAGAATACTTGATCTTATTCCTCAGTCGTTTCCAAGTAGAGCTATCACCACGATGAACACTTTGTCTATCACCTATGGGGGATTTCAGGCCTACAGATACCCATGGTTTGTCGCATGAGTGGAGTTTTACCTTGCATCTGGGGAAGTATCTGTCAATGGCAGTGGTATAAGATTGATGTAAAACTGATACTAGTAATGATTTTGTCCAAGGTATTGGTCCCTCTGGTAGGAAGATCAACAATTTGACGAGACATCTGATCTGGTAACAAGGGGTCCGTATTGAGCTGATTAAAATCCCTAAGTATGATGAAGCGAGCTCCGGGGTGATTCGTTATATTCGATATTGTTGTGTTACCTGCGTCTCTATTGCACGGTCTGGTTGGGGGTAGTACAAAGCAGCACAGAAGATGCATGGTATTGATTGTGGGAGGCATTGTGGGCCGAGTTTATTCACACAACTTCCAGGTTGGTGGGGATTGCGATTTCTTTGGGCGATGATGGAATGAGATGATGCTTTGCATAGATGGCCACACCACCACCATTATGATCCTGTCTTGATTTGGCAAACATGGTGTAACCGGGAACAGCCATTAATTCCGGGGGAAGATCAGGCTTGAACTAAGTTTCAGTGACTGCACAAACATCAATGTCATTATCAAGAATGGTAATGGACAATTCATCAAATTTGTTGTAAGCTGATCTTGCATTGCACAGTAAACTAGATGGCAAATCGTGGACAACAGTGTGCTTTGAGTGGGAAATGTTGACATGGACCAGATTGTTAGGATTTAACGCTACTTTGGCCTCTAGTTAAGGACAGTTTTTCCCTCTGTAATTAAGCGCCCTACAACAGTTTGATTATTTTTGCGTGTGTCCGCTCGGGTACTGTGATGCGCCGGGGGGTCACGAAGTAGGTGCAGTTCCTTTCATAACCTCCATGTTACTCCTGGTCAAAGTGATGCAACTCACTCCAAATAGATGCAACTCACCTGATTTTCAGGAGTGGTTGAGACTTGAAGACCTCTGACAGCAAGGTATTTAGGAACTCTTCCGGATCTTTCTTTTCACTCATTAGACTCTTGGTTGTGCCTAACTGATCCAGGTGCTCCCTCAGCTGAAGAATACGATCAGCTCGAACAAAACCATTCCTGTTATCAAAATCAAGCACAAAGTGGACAACGTTACAACCAAGGCAGTAAATAAGTTCTTAAAGTGTATGGCAGCACTTGTTGTCAAGCTTTAGCATTAGGGAGGTTTCGCAAGCGAAGGGATACACTTACACTTATGTTAAGCTATCCGTATCCATTTTTTACTTACGTGTAGCGAGCGAGATATGCGTGTCGTCTGCACGTATGACATCATACGCCACTCACTATCCGCTAAACGTGCAGAAGACACGCATATCTCGCTCGCTACACGTAGGTAAAAAAACGGATAAGGATAGCTAAGCGTAAGTGTAAGCGTATCCGTTCGCTTGCGAAACCTCCCTATTGTTGGACGAAACCGTACAGACTTTTTCTCTGGACCTTGAAGGAATCAGAATCCTTCAACCCAATTTTTAATGAGCTCTGTAGCAGATCAACCAATTATTCAGTTCAGTTCATTTAATCAAAAGTCCTTCTCATGGAGTTGTCTCATTCTTCCAGACTCACTTTCTCAAGGGGTTGACAATGCTCTCTCTGAGAGTCTTCTGGACTTTCTCATACTCCTGCAGATCGCCCAGGCCCTGCGTGCGTCGCAGGAGCGGATCGAAGACGCCGTTGTAGGCAAACATACTGAAGAGTGTGCTGTCCAGGTAGCAGGAGTTCTGATAACCCTGGATGCCCTTCTCCATGCCCACGAACTCTGGTCTGAGGCGAGGTGGGGGGTCGATGAAACCTTTCACTAACGGCGATGCAAAGCCCCCAAAATCTTTAGAATGACAGAAATTATAAGGAGTAATAATAGCAATATTGAAGCGCAAATCAGTGAACACTTACTTCTCGTGCGATGATTCCCTCCTATTCACCTTATACATATTCTCAACTTCAGTGATAAATAACTACGAATTGGCAGAGTTGTAATGACTCGACTCGAATCTGACTCGAGTCACAATTTTTGGTGACTGGAGTCAAGTCCCTAAGGGTAAAAGACTTGACTTGACTTGAGTTACTGTGAGCAAATGACTTGATTCGACTCGAGTCCCTCATCAGAAGACTCGACTCGACTCCAGCGACGGCTAATGAGACTCGAGTCCCAAAAACAAAAACAAAACTTTGCGAAAAATAGTTGCAATGAATACAAATGTATGTTCGGCGTCATTTTGCAAATACGGTACAGCGGCTGCTTGTCGTGTACAAACATACGTGTCAGAGACTCCCACCTTGTGGTTCTGAAACGCACAAAATACTATCCAGGAACCAGACTTTAAACACATTTTCCAATTTATGGTTTCATCATTGGCTTTGGGCAATTTCGTGTTAAGCTCTTGGATTTGAACGCCGGCTGAATTCATGCCCTCCTTTTAAGAATGCAATAGATACATGCCAACTTTTAACTCTTTCGCTACGGCGAGCCACTGACAGCGGCACACAAAAATTGTACAGGTCGTACGCGAGCCGCTGGCAGCGGCACGTTGACGTCGCTGTGAATAAACGGGGTATCCCCATGACGTGTGCCTTATCTACATAATTTATATCGTATAACCTCTGACCCTAGTTTGAGCCGCTGCCAGCGGCTCTCCGTCTGGCCGGGGTGCGCTTCAGGTTATTGTGAGCAGTTTGCTTACGGAGATACATTTAAAGATGGCGGCGCCCACATCGACGCTCGGCGGAATTTCCAGTGGTTAATTACGTCCAGTTGGGACAAAATAGGTAAATTAAATTCCGTAGCAAAAGAGTTAAATAATCAGAAACAGTTTTGTATAATGCAATATGGTTTTGATGTTCTCAGCGATCAGCTAAGTTCTAGATCAAAAGCCAAACCAGAGAGCAATAAACCAAAGTTTCGCTTCTTGTTACCTGTTACTGTTAGTGATACAAATGACTTTCTCTCTTGTCTTTATTTGTTATGTAGTGTTCAAATATTCGTGACTCAAATTGATTCAAGCTAAATATTTGACTTGACTCGACTCAACTACGCACTGTGACTCGACTCGACTTTCTTGACATAATGACTCGAGTCGCCTCGAGTCACTTCTTCAAAATGACTTGACTCAACTTGAGTCACAAAAATCAGTGACTCGTTACAACTCTGCGAATTGGGCAGTTAAGTTGCATGCATACATAGCGCGCAAAAGTGCTTGGCACTTGGACTCGGGGTATCATGCAACGAAAACAAGTGCAGCGTGAAAACTGCAGCGCATTCCGCTAATTTAGTGTGCGGTGCACTGCAAGCATGTACAAAATGCATAGTTGGGTGCCCGCTGGAGCCTAGTCAGAGTGCATAAATTCAAAGTTACTAGGGAGTTTTGGTTACGCAGTTACTTGAGATCTTGCTAGGATATTGTGCGGACCTGCTGTGCGCTGAGCACCAACATTGAGAACAAAATTGTAAGTAGAATTTGTGTTGTTTCCTTTGTGACACTTTACCCAGCTATTAAATTAAGGCAAGTCTAGCTTGGGAAAATTTCATACTGCGCAGTAAATCCCAAGGCCATATATTTTTGGGTGAATTTTAAAGAGGAAAATAATCAGTGATCTGTTGAATTATATTGGACACCAATCACCTCCAGAGGTAACAGGAGATTATAGTGGTTGAAGGTACATGTACCTCCTTTTGTTTTGTGTAAACAGAGCAATGAATTGAGTGTTGCAAGTTATATCTTTGTGCCGATTATTAATTACTTGTGTTTCTAATAGGGTTTGCCTGTAAGTGGGGATGTAAATGTACTTTCCGCCCAACAGACACACCCCCTGGGTTGTTGTGAACTCACCTTCCACAGAAATTCCCACCGAGTGCAGAGCCGCTCCCGTGCGCAATTCTATAAAAATATTTTGTGGGAGAAAATGCCACAAATGGTGTCAGAAGTGGGATTCTTGTAGGGAAAATTTATTATTTTATCGTTAGTCTGCCGTCTCGCTATGGTCTTCGTAGTTTAAATTTAATCAAGAATAACTGCATTCTTCTTAAACATCCAACCACTCGTAGCAGAACTTCTTAGCCGTAGGTGATCAGGACGCGTCGCAACCCAAGTTACGATATGTAACACGTAGCAACTCACGACGCATTGTACGATCCTTTCACCAAACTTGCGTTGTGTTGAACGCGTCGTAAGCTCCTTGACAACGTTGTTTTCTTACCCAGTTTTATGCCATAAAAATTACATAAACAAGACTATAACACCGAGACAATGTGCGTCAAGTCGCAAAAGGAAAATGCATGGAAGTAATTATTAATTGGCCTGGAATGTTGCAGTTTAAATTCCAAATTAGCTTCTAGTCCACCGCAAGCTTGTTTTCCGTTAAAACTGCATCACACGTTTGCTATTTTGTTTTACGTTTTAAAAAGTTTTGGAGCGGAGATTCGACGACTATTTGTTGACTATCAGACGACTATTTACTGTTTGCTGAATAAATACACGCAACAGTCATCGTATTGTGCTATCAATACACCTACGACGCGTCACACTTACGACACGTTTTGTGAAATGAATGGCAGGATGCTTCACAGCTGCGTTACGATGAGTTTCGTGAAATTAGCCTTTCAATATGCTGCCCCAAGTTCCCTGTGGCACAAGTTACCAGTTCATGTGAGAAATGCCAACAACTTAAACCATTTTAAGACGCTGCTGAAACTCATCTTTTTCAAACTGCTTTTGATTTAAAGTGGATATTACTGTAACCATTCTAATAAATTTAACTTTACACTACTTTTTAATGATGTGTTTTGATGTATTTCTGGTTTTAATTAATAATTTTGATGTATTTGGTGATTTAATATATCTGATGATTTTAGTGCATTTGAATCAACACTAGAATAACATGTACCCCGTTTTAATTAAAGTAAAGTGCATTTGAATCGTAGCCAGGAATTTTTCAGTGGGGGGCGGGGGGCGCTGGGGGGCTATCTGGGGGGCTAAGAGAATATCTGGTTAGGGCACATTTCAGTTTGAACAATTTTGTGCACAAGTCTAATGGAATGTCTCCCAAATGTCCAATCCAAGGTAATTTTCCAAACATTTTTTTTGCAATACTTTTCAGCCTTAGACACTGCAGTAACGACCGAGCTGATTGGCTGAGTACCTAGCAGTACCTTCAGTCTTCATTCAGTTATTGATCATTAAGATAATACATATTATACATAAACCTGGTTGCTTTGCTCACTTTCTGAGTACATGCAGATGTATGCGTCTCCCAGTAGCCTCTCCACAATCTCAGTCAGTTGCTTGCCCTCGATGCGGGCCTTGATGTGATCCATGTCCACCCATTTCAGGAAATCCTTGAGGTGGGTGATCTGAGGGATGTTGTAGCCATGCTTGTCACCTTAAAAGAAACAATACAAAAACAAAAACAAATGCTAAATATGGGTCTACACATGTTATTACTAACCCTGTTTCAAACCATATTTTAAAGCTAAAATTGTGATTTTATAATGCAGACACTTAGACATTATTTTCATGATGTATGTGAACATTTAATTGATTCAGTGTGGGTTTTTTTTGAAAATTAAAATTTGGTAGTTATATTTTGTGGGAAACCTATGGGGTTTATTTTGTTTAATTTTCGGGGACAGACATACTCAAAATAAAAGCACATGCGCATCGATCAAAACAAAATCGCTGTTCCAAAAACCATCAACAAGAGTGCATTTAATGACGGCATGGCATTTGGTTAATAAGTCAACTATTTTTGGTCAATTTTCGAGGACAGACTGACAGAATGACCGACCAAGCGACTGACCGACCACCAAGTGACTGACCGACCACCAAGCGACATGAAGAGGCTCCTGCCACAGACTTGGCCAAGTCTGGGTTGCGCTCGGTCTGTGCCTATAGTAAATCCACTCACAGCGCATATCGCATACGTCCTTACAGTACATAACGCGCGCCCTCATGCGTCGAATCCGGACCATCATGTTAAAAACGTACATGTACATGTTATTTTCAAGTGATGCAGCAACCCAGACTTGGTCAATCTACCAAGCGTACGCGCTGGTTTGTTCCACGTTTGTACACAGTCTATGGAAATTAATTTTCGCTGTGATTGGCTTCTACCAATTACGGTAGAAGCCAATCATATCACAATGTTTCAGGTAATTAGCATTTTTATTCTTAAAAACGCGCGCAGGTTGTTTTGATATTATTCAAAAGTACAGATGCCTGATTCAAAGCACTGAGCTATCTCGCTGTCGCTTGGCAGATTCCTAGTCCAATTCTTTTTGTCTCATGCTTACCCTGCATATCAGCCATACTGTCAAAGAACACCCATTCAGAATCTTTCTCCCTCCCAGCCTTCACAAATGCTACGTAATGACTGCTCTTGATGCAGATGACCGCAAACAAGTCCATCAGCTTTGGGGTCAGTAATCTCTGATGGTGTTCGTTCACTACCAATTCCGAGAAACCTTTCTCCATGGTCTTGGAGAAGAATTCCGTCAGGAAATGGTCCGGGACGGTCAGGGTGGTGGGCTTGTGGTGTTTCCGATGGGTGCCTCCATGCATCTGGTTTGTATGGGGAAAGAATACAGGACTTACAATCGAGTATGAAATACCTGTTTTATCTGCTAAAACATATACATAAAAAATAGTGGTTTCATAAAACCGTTACTGGTGCATAAAAGCGTTGTTCTTATACAAGCTAATGTACAAATTGATGTACCTGATCACGATCAGCTAGGGCGTATTTGTGTTGGGGTTTGAAATGTGGGGAAGAGAAATGTCAACCTGTCGGGTAAATTGGTTGAAAATACATTAATACCCCCAATAAAAAACCAAGTGCAAGTGACAAGGAGTAAGGAACTATAAGCCCCAATGTGCTAACAAAAACTGCTAGATTATCCTGTGACAGTCAAATTGAAGGTTTTATTTGGAAGTGTCAACTCTGGGGAAATTGGTGTTGAAAGAATAACTGCATTAAAAGTGAAATCCCCAAAAATGCAGTGTAGTTCCAGAAAGGAGAAGTCCCCGAGGAGGTTTGTTAGAAAGTTAAAGCAGCCCCGCACCCCTCCCCCACCCCCTCCCAAATAAAAAGAACAAGAAAAGACAATGAAGAAAAACGTGGGAGGGCAACAGCCCCCCCCCCATGAAACCTTGTCACCCCCCAGTCGCCTCCCCCCCCCACCCACCGAGATTTTGAGTTTCTAAAAAAATTATCATTGATCTAAATGTAAATAGTCGCGAATGATCCACATGATGACTACTGAGAAACGACCCTTCGACCGCGGACCAGTAGTCTGACAACCGGCGTGACATAGCACATAATGATAATCTACAGTACTATATTATTAAAATGCGTATTAACACCCACTGCACTGCTCGCTCACACCACAGAACACGTATTATAGACAGGTGGTCCGTGGGTCACACAGTTTCAGTCAGCGATATCACGCGAATCGGCCACGCACAAACATTTTTTCTCCATTCAGATATTAGCTAAAATAATAATAATAGACCAAATAAATTTCCTTGAAATTAATAGACCACGCCTCTCCAAAACTTTCCGAATTCTTTTTTTTTTTTGGCTAATTCTGATGCCGGGTAATGAAAGGGGTTTAAAAGACATGCCCAAAACTCCCGAAGGACGATTGACGAACTATTACTTATTTTCCTTAATTTCCTAAACTCTAATTATTATGATTTTGATAAATGAGTTTTAAAATTCTTGAAAAATCTAAGATGGCCTTTAAATATAGGAATAAAATTACGGCGAGCTGGTCTGACCTTTCAAAGGGTTGCCAACTGGCAGATTTTTTTCTCCTGATTACAGAAATTTCGTTGAATTTTATGCTGTCTTTTCAAGGTTTTTGAATTCTTGTTTAGAAAAATACTAAATAATGTAAATCCTTTTATTGTACTTTTACGAGGAGATTAAGATCAATAAAAAATAAAGTGTAGGTCTACTAGACCATTTGAAATTTTGACTTGAAAGGAGCCCTTAGGCCTACGGCCAAATGTTGCCGATAAAGAAAGTTGAAACGTGACACCCCTGTTGTCTGATGAGTACGACGTGCATGCCATGGCCATCGTCGGGTCCGCGAGATATCGATTTCAGCGTTGAGCAGCTTCGGGGTGCTTTCAGTTTCAACCTTTCATTCCTATTTCTTTGATATTTCCCAGAGAATGAACCACCAGTCTAACTGAAATTCATGGTAAGTAAGTCTGTTCTTTATAAGTAATGAGACACGCAACATTACAATGACGCATGATCAACTAAATGTAGGCCTAGCGGCTTAGCCTATGTGTGGCACTGGCCCAGTCGACTGCATAGCCTAACAAGTAACAAGTTAGGCTTTCAGCAAATTAGACACATGTTGTCAAAATTTTTGGCCACAAACATTGATCAAATGTTGTATATTTCTTTTTTTGTGCAATTTCCAACTCATTCAGTATTTATTGAATTGAAATGTGGGTAATGGGGGTGGTAACTATGTACATTTATATTTTCTTAAGGATGATTTGTCAGCCAATATGGTGCAGAATATTACAGAACCTCTAGAGAATCACTCTAGAGAATTTTATTTATTTGAAGGACAGTTAACTCCACTCTGCCTGTTCCTTTTCTCATAGATTCAACTGTCATAACCATGGCAGATATACGTTCGATGTTCTCATCTATAAGAAAACGTCAAGGTGAAACAAGACCTGCGAGTAAAGGCGACCCATCCAAAAGGGCTTGCACAGGTGGTGGTGACGAGGGAAATCTACCAGGCACGTCATTCGAAATAGAGGATACTAGTTTGCCGGTTGCTGATGACAGTGGTTCCAGCGATGATGAATGTGACTCGATAGAGGTGCAGGTCCAGCAAATGGAAGAAACCTTAGCACCAGATGGTAAATATTAGCTTATTTGTTTACTTTACTTGAGTGATCATGCATGCTGGCTGCATTCTGCTTCTTTATCACACTCCCAGTTTGAGGCCTCTGATCCAGGAGGATGTGATCACAGGCCAACGCATCCACAATAACTTGACTACTCATCCCAAATAGTTTCCAAGATAGCTGGGTATGTGATTTCCTGCTTCTGGGATTGCCATTTTAAGTCTCCATCAATTGATTTGGTTCAGACTGCTGACCTACTGTCACAAGTTTCCTTGTTACTGAATACGCCAATGTAGCTGTCAAATGGAAGTTCCACTGGGAGGTGGGGGTGGGGTGGACTGGCCGGTGTGGGCATACTATTCATTGTTGTAAAATTAATATTGTCATTTTCTCAAGATAGAAGCCGATCAGTAACTATTTTTTCGTAACGCATGCTTCAAGCTGGGGATGAAGTAAAAACATTTGTACTGGCTATCTACATAAGTGTGTGATAGAAAGGCACCAATTTGCTTTGACTTAATACACTGTAGTGTATCAGGTTTTGAAGGTCTTATAGAAGGGACATGGTAGCCTAGCGGTAAGGCTCTGGTCTTGTGATCCAAAGATCGTTGGTTCCAGCCCCACCACAGTGTGTCCTTGGGCAAGGCACTTTACCCTCGATTGCCTCACTCCACCCAGGTGTAAGTGGGGACCTGTGAGGAACCTCAGCACAATTAAGCACTGATTTAACAGCTGCCACTCTTCAGGACTGTCGGATGGGCGTGCCAGGTTCCAATGACCAGGGTAATACGCCTATACTGTAAAACCCCTTAGAGCAGTCACTGACTGAATAGGGCTCATAACTTTGTTATATTATTGACAAGCTGATTTACCCGATCATAGATCGGGTAGGGCGCGTGTCGGAGATGAAAATGTGGGGAGTTAAATGTAAATGGGGGTTAGTTTAGAAGACATGCAGTTATAGAAAAGCAATTTATTTTTTTTGTGGTGTGATCTGAGGCAATAGCTGACCACTAAAACCAATTAGAGCAAAAGATCATCGTTTAAACATCATTTTCGAGCTTGGGGTCATTGAATCAGCTACACGGTATTCTGAGCAATAGAATCATTATAGTAGGCTACAATTTTTATTCGGGGAAGAAAAAGTGGGGGGGGGGACCAAACAAAGTGGAGGGGGGGGGTTTCTTCCTGTCCCCCGTCGATTTACGCACATGATAATTATGTACCACGGCAACTGTCTGTAAATGTTCCCGTTGGTCTGTCAAATTGGCATTTTGTGAGGCAGTCGCATTGTGGGAAATTAGTGAAAAGGTTACCGTAGTACACAGGTGAAGGCTGATTGTACAGTTTTGACAATAAATCATAATGCAATCAAACGTGAAGTTGTCATTGGCAATGAAAATGTTGATTGTTACCATAAAATTACAAACAGTCTGAATGATGGAGGAAGGTCATAATTAAGTTTCAGTATTGGACTCTTCAACAAACGTGAACTTAAACTTCTTACAATTTGGGAGACCATCTGCGAGGAAAAAGTCTTTTATTGAAATTGGTTCAACCATATGTTAGAGAAAATTTTACTCGGCCTCCGAGAAATGTTTGCTCCTGAGAGGATCCGAGACCGCAGTCTCCCGAGGCGCCAAAATCGCTCCACGTCCGTGGAAAAATGTGGAGGGTGTCTTCCGCCGGGTCGGGCACTTCGGGTTGTCCTAATTTTTCCGTACCGACCGGCGATCCATTTTGTCGATTTTTTGTGACTGCATTTAAGATCGCGATATTTGAAGCAATGCATTGCTCCTTCATTGATCCCAAACAGGCCCCCTAAATTATAACAAGACACTGAATTATACGTGGCGGGCAGCGAACTCACAACGCTCAGCCTTGGTGGTGGAAGCATGGAGCTGTAAACATATTATGGAAGCAACAGCACTCTATCACGTGACGTCACATGCTTGTACTTCAAATAGCGAGCACCGTAGACCCAACCTCGTTTCCAGGGCGTGGAGCAGGCTGCAGTACGCGTTGCCATCGATGGTTTTACGCATAGCCCGGAAGTACTACGCAGTGTAGACTTTCGATTGGTCAGACTGCGCAAGGCATACTAATGTGTAGTCCTTCTGAGTATTCGTTGCACTCGGCAACACGGGCGGCAAGCAAAGCACAGGAAAGAATAGGGACACTTGGTGGCCACGCACCATGGAGAAAAAATATTTTGCCAAGGTCACCCCATACTACCGTTCTGTGAACACTTTTGCAGAACGGCTGAGTAGAACACGTAAACGAAACCCCTACATTGACCTCGCTGACCTCGCACAGTCTAGACTCGCAGAAAAGCCAGCACAGGAGGCGCCCAGGCAGTCAACGTGAAAGCGCACACGACGGCAAATTCCTGCGCAAAACGCAGTCACGAAAAATCGACAAAATGGATCGCCGGTCCGTACCGGAAAATCAGGATGACCCGAAGTGTCCGACCCGGTGGAAGACACCCTCCACATTTTTCCACGGACGTGGAGCGATTTTGGTGCCGCGGGAGCCCGCGGTCTCGGATTCTTTCAGGAGCAAACATCGTCTCGGAGGCGAGTAAACTTCTCTCTTATATATATAGATATTGTTGTGAAATAAAACTGAGATGATATTTTTGAATTTTAAAATTGAGAAATTTGATGGAGTTCCGACAAGTATTACCACTTAGACAAGCACATTTATGGATAGTAGCAAATGTATAATATAATATTTAATATTTTTCTCTTTGGAATTGAAGACAATTCACAAACAGCTGAAAAAAAGGATGCGGTGCAGTGGTTCTGGGTTTGGGTTATGTAGGAAGAGGATAACTGACGCTCTTGATAGTGACACTTTCTTGCTACACCACAACTAACAATTTTACGATATTGCTGTCATGACTCGGAGAAATGCGACATTCGAAATAGAGGATACTAGTTTGCCGGTTGCTGATGACAGTGGTTCCAGCGATGATGAATGTGACTTTGCTTGCAGAAACTTCTTGGCTCCGATAGCATGTGCTGAAGAGGCTTTCACTAGTACTGGATTCTCCAACTGGAAGAAGGTACTTGGGAAGAAAGGGAAGATCTCCAAACATGTTGTAGCTGACTATCATGTCAATGCCATGGTTGCATGGGCTTCCTTCAAAGAGAGTGAGAAGGTGAGTTTTTACCCCATGTATAATATTAGATTTTTCTCAACAGCTTTTCCTCTCAAAATTGTGTTCCACCTGTGTGCTGGGGGTTGTGGAATATGCCCACAGTATTCCCAGCCTGTCGTAAGAGACAACTACAGGGAGGAAATTAACCGTATTAGAACTTGAAAGACACTAACACGCATGTGTTCAGTGTTGTTAAACTTTACCTGCCTTCCTCAGAATCGTGAGTTCATTGCTCTCACGGTGTAAATTCAATACTTTCATGCGAATAAATCATATGGGTTATTCACTCTTACACACTTTTTTATCTCCTTTTCCATTCAGGTGGGCTCTGTTCTTTAACTACTTTGCGGCACGACTTGTGTTGATGAGCACTCTACTGCAGAAAACCAAATCGTTGTCCACCATGCTGCAGCAAGACGATGTGGACCTGTCTGCAGCTAGCAACTTAGCTGCAGTCATCATTGATGAGCTCCAGGACATGCGGTCCAATGACGACACCTTCTGTGAGATCTGGCAGGAGGTGGACGGAGTCGTAAGTGATTGCCGGGATGACCTCGTGCCCACCAGACGGAGACGAGCTCCTCGACCTTCAACATGCACGGAAGGCTACTATGTGCTCGAAGCCACTGGTCAGCAGGAGCAAGCGACCCCTGAAGTGGACTTCAAAGTTAACTTCATGTTCCCGGTGCTGGACAGGATGTTGCAGGAAATGAGACGGAGGTTTAGCGACCTAATCTGCAGGCCGACGAAGGGTATAGATGCCCTGACACCATCCAGTGAAAACTTTCTGTCCCCTGAGAACCTGAAGGCTCTACAGGAATCATATGGGGCAGATCAGGAAGACCTGAGGCATGATCTCCATCAAGTAAAGAGGCTGATAGAGAGAAAGGCTTCTAAAGAAGAAGCAGTACCAAAGAGCATGCAGGGTCTTGCCAATTTCTTGGAGCCCTACAAGGATGCCTTCTTTGAGCTATATCGACTTTCGCAAATCGCAGCGATCATTCCAGTCACGTTAGCCTCATGTGAGAGAAGCTTCTCTGCAATGAAGCTAATCAAGACATATCACTACATTGACTTCTGTGGTTGGTTAGAACTAGTTGCTTTTAATGCAAGGGAGTGCATGCACTGTTTTGCGTATAATTAGGTATTTATAAGGTATTGTTACTATTTTTTCACATAGCTCCCTCTCACAACGTTGGTGTCTAGTCCGAAAATTAGCATGAATGCAACATTGACAGGTGGGGGGGGGGGGGTATGGGAATCTGTAGATCAAAAGTTTCCTGGTCGTATGGTCATGCAAATCGTTGTCTACAGTCGTTTGGCAAAACGCCAGCTTAAGTGTCCCAACAACCTTGTCCAACATTGAGAGCGCAAGCCCAGCAATTCACAGATTTAAAATAAAGGATCTTTAGAAAACTTTAGAGCATCTTGCAAGGTCTGGGAAGTGTCATTTCCTGCCATCTGGGAGGCCTTTTTACCCAAAATTTTCTTGTACGCTCCGCGCCAACCGATGGTGGCGCTCCGCTTAGATAGTAACATGACGCCCCCCATGAAATGTTCCAGCCCCCCAGCACCCCCCCACTTAAAAATTCCTGGCTACGCCACTGTTTACATGTATGCACTCTTTGCAATGTGCACCCAAATGACTTCATCATCGCGATTTGTAAAGAACTGCAAATCCTCCGTAGTGGTACAACCATACTCCGTAGCTCCATGTACAACTAAATGATCTTATATCTCTATAACCAACGCGACATGTGGATTTGACTGCAGTCAGAACTCACGTGCAACAGCACGGCTAGCACGTTGGTAGCCAAAACACTGCTTACAACACACACAGCACATAGTGTATGCATCAAAGATGGTACGATTTCAAGGAATGCATATTGCACATTCACGGCTGTTTGGTGTACGACTCAATTGCACCTATGACAAAACGCACCTAAACACAACCCATCCATTACCGGTGAAAACTGAAAGTGCGCAGCAGAGAGTAGTAGTGCGGTTCCAGTAACAGCTACTGGAAGAAGAAAATATGGGCGACCAGCGTTTTAGGTCCGTGGGCAAAATTACGACAACCTGATAGTGGTCAACCTGCCCACGACCAATTCCACAATTTCCCGCATTTTTTCATCGCATTTACATAGTTACGCTTTTTCTTCGAAGAACAAACAGAGATTCTCGCGTATCATCCGCCAATTTGACATTCTGTGAATCAGATTCGAAAACAGCGCCACCACTGACAGTGAAGTTCTATTCAATGTGCAATACAACTTTTATTTTCGTGGTGTGGCCGCACCGTGCGTTGGGACTAATAATTCAATGACATGTACAAATCAGATGACGGGGATTTATTCAGGTGTTGTATGCAGGTGTGTATAGGCATGCATCCTTCACTATCACCACTCTTTTCATTTTTAACATTGAGAGGCAACTCATGCAAAGACTCCTGATCACAATTAAACACTAGCACATTTCCAATGACGTCTTATTATTGTCTCAGACTCTCAGTACAGTAATTAGCAGTGTGATTCACTGTACAGGTCATTGACTGTGACTTACCGTTTGGAAACAGTCTTCACAGTAGTTCTTGATAAGTGTGGTATATTCCAAAGCTTCCTCTGTTTTGCACTCACTGCACTGAAAGACAGCCAGGTTGCCGCACACTGTACACTGCCTGGGATCTGTCAGAAAGATACACATTATGCTACACAGTAGAATGTCAGTATTTTATGATTGTCCCGTCCAAATTTGGCATTCAACTCAATCATATTAGTCCAATCATGAGTCAGCTCACATGTTACGAGGGATAAACAATGACAAAGGAATGCCTTTGTGACAGCTCATTTGAATAGCTAGCTACTTGACATGGGACTGGATGACTTGTGATGATTTTAATGACTTTTAATTGACTTTTAAAAAATCTACTGTAAATCAATACTGCTGCCCAAAAGTTTTTCCAAAATTACCAGATCTTAATGTTGCCGAAATATGGCCACCTTCCTGTGTTTAAGACAGCAAGCTTTGGTGGTTGTGTTGCTAAGACATCTGTACTTGCAAGTGCTAAATCATGGGTGTGAACACCTCTCAAGTCGCCTATGAATGATTTTCTGGAGTGCAGAACTCCACCCTTATTTATACCAAATGACATATAAATTTGCAGAAGTTGAGTCTTTACTTACAGTCTTCAATGATATTTGTGACATCGAGCTGAAGCGATGGCAAAATGCGATTGTACATTTTGTAGTCTGTGCCAAATCTTGGCATCTGCACAATCAAGCATGATGGTGCCTGCAAAAAGAAAAACACAGAAATACGGAATGACTATGAAGTGAGATGAATCAATGAAGAACTCAGAGGAGATTATTCTCAGGTTCTGTGCCACTGCAGCTTTATTCATCAGACATAATGTAAGAGAGAGCGCGGGCGAACTGTTCACCTAATGTGCTTGCGCGCATACAAAGTAGTGCTCATGAAGTATCACAACATCCCTCCCCTTTTGAAAGTACAATTTCAGCAATAATTATTGGTGTACACATAAAACTGGAATTTACTTAATTAGCAAGCATTTACATGAAATGTGTAGTGATGGCTTTTCAATTAACAGGCATATGAAACATTGGTGGTCATATCTTACTGACAACTACAACTTTTGTTTCTCTGCAATATGTGGCACACAGTCTTAGCACCTTCTTTTCGAACGGTAACAAATTTAACTTTGAATCAGTAACAAAGTGAACTTTAGTACTTTGAACAAAGTGAACAAAGTGTACTTTTAGTACAAAGTGAACTTTAGTACTTTCTTTCTTTTGAAATTTGACTTTGGTACTTTCTTGCTTTCTTCCTTTTTGAACGGTTAACAAATTTAACTTTAAACAACAATAAATGTACTGAAACGGGTTTAATAAACATATGAAACTCTGAGTTCTGTTTCAAATCGTGTGGGTTATTTTTTTTGTTTCCATATGAAATTAAATGTGTAATATCGTTTCTGAACCAAATTGTTTGAAGTATCTGCTATGTATAATCTGGGTGTGTGATATTATTCAGTGTATCTGGCTGGTTTTCGGATTGTGCGTCCAGATTTTGTTTTGCGAGTGACAGTCGGAGACTTGTTTCGATCTGTGTTGTTTCGGTCTGTTTTGTTTCGGTCTGTTTGTTTCACAGCTTCTGTGTCTAGCTTCTTGTTGGACAGTGGAAGTGATTCATCAGCGAATCGAACTCGTTTGGGCGTAGCCGGGGATTTCATCTGGCTGGGCATCTCACGTAGGTGCGAACGGTTGCGACGTAGTCTGTGTCCATTGGGTGTGGTGACTTCATATGATCTAGGTTCCTTACAGACTGTTGTGACTTCACCAGGCAACCAAGTGTGGTTCTGCTGGTCCAGGATTCGCACTCGTTGGCCAACATAGAGTTGCGGGAGTTCTTTTACTGCTTGTTTGGCATCATGGTCGGTCTTCATCTTTTGTCGTCTTGCCTCTAGCTGGTCTCTGATATCCTCAGCTTTCTGGGGGTTTGCTTGCAGGTGGTTGTTTGGCAAGGTAGTTTGTATCGGTCTGCCGAAGAGAATTTCAGCTGGTGACGGTAGTTTGGAGTCCACAGGGGTTGCACGGAGGTTCAAGAGTGCTATGTCGACATTTTGTCCAGACCTCTGGCATTTCTTGATCACTGACTTGACGGTTCTGACTGAACGTTCCACGAAACCGTTTGAACGTGGATAACGTGGAGACGAAGTTGTGTGCTTGATGCCCCATGTGTTACACATGTCTTTGTAGTGTTTGCCTACGAATTGGGGGCCGTTGTCTGACATAACCTCAGCTGGTGCTCCAAGGAGGCTGAATGTGTGTGAGGTGATGCCAGCAACTGCTGCACTGGTTGTGCTGTTCAACTTGTGAACAACAGGGTACTTCGAATGATAGTCAACTATCAGTAGATAGTTGTCTCCGTGGATTTCAAACAGATCAGTGCCAAGTTTGGTCCAGGGTGTCGAAGGTACTTGATGTGGCTCCAATGGTTCCTTTTGCTGTTTGGGTTGGGATTCCTGGCAGTAGGAACACGCTTTGACAAGTTCATCAATATGGCGATTGATGTTGGGCCAGTAGACCGACTCTCTGGCTAGACGTCTTGTCTTCTCTATACCCATATGGCCTGTATGGAGCTGTTGTAAGATATCCGTCTGAAGTGAGTCTGGAATGATGACCTGTCTTCCTTTGAAGATTATTCCCCAGGAGATACCAAGCTCATCCCTGTATGGCCAGTAGACCCGTAGATCTCGAGGTAGTTCCTTGACGGAGTCTGGCCAGCCACTGTATATTATCTGACACAGTGCACTTAGTACAGGGTCTCTTGCTGTTTCTCTCTGCAGTTGCTCTTGCTTAGACTGCCCAAAATGCACAAGGTCCATGCACATGGCGTCTTGGCCTTCATAGACATCAAAACTGCCGACCAGTCTGTCTAGGGGTATGTCATCACTCTTTGTCGGGTTTGGCAATCTGCTCAGAGCATCTGATAGCGTCATTGTTTTCCCTGGTCTGTACTGTACGTCAAAGTTGTATCCTTGCACCTTAATTAGCAAGCGTTGCAGACGAGGTGGTGCACTCGAGAGGGGTTTCTTCCAGATCATCTCAAGTGGCTTGTGATCAGTGTGGAGTGTAAACTCTTTCCCGAAGAGATAGCTATGGAACCTGGTGATGCCGAACACTAGGGCTAGTGTTTCTCTCTCTATGTTAGAGTAGTTGGCTTGTGCCGGGGAAAGACTCTTCGACGCAAATGCTATCGGCCTGTTGTTTTGAAGGAGGCAGGCTCCCAGACCCTTCTGTGATGCGTCGACTCCCAGCACAGTGTGTATCTCTGGGTTGTAGTACTGGAGACACGCGTCAGTGGTGATGGAATATTTCAAGGCTTCGAATGCTGCTTGATGGTCATCCTGCCACAGATATGGCACATTCTTCTTCAGGAGATCCCTGAGGGTCGCTGCTTTGTCTGCCAGGTTAGGGATATATGCAGAGACGTATGTGATCAGGCCTAGGAATTTTTGCAGGTCTTCCTTGTCCTGAGGTGTTGGAATGCTGTGGATGTCCTCAATTCTGCCTGGGTCCGGCCGGATGCCGGTGTCGGAGTACAGTGACCCAAAGAAGTTGATTTGGTTGGTCTTGATGTGGCATTTGTTGCTGTTGAAAACTAAGCCTTCACGGCTGGCTGTTTGAAGTAGATTCAGGAGGTTGGCATCGTGTTCTTCCTCAGTACGGCCATATACAGCAACATCTTCAGCAATGCCGACGCATCCTGGGACCTGTTCTATGATGTCGTCCATGCACTGCTGGAAGATGTCTTGGCTGATGGAGAGACCAAATGGAAGGCGCTGGAAACAGTACCGGCCAAATGGCGTTCGAAAGGTGGTCAGCTCTTGGGATTCTTCCTCGAGCTTGACGGCCCAATACCCAGCTTTAGCATCAAGCTTCGAGAAGAATTTGGCTTGAGAAAATGCTGGGTTGAGTTCCTCCAGTGTGGGTATTTTGTGCGGACATCTCTTGAGGCTCTGGTTCAGCCGCTTAGGATCCAAACAGACCCTAAGTGTCCCATCTTGTTTCAAGCTCGTGGTTATCGAACTACACCAGTCGGTGTGATGGGTGACCTTTCTAATTACACCTTGCTGTTCCATCTTGTCGATCTCTATTTTGAGCTTCGGCTTCAGGTGTATGCTACACTTCCTGGGTGCGTCAATGCTCGGTTTAGCATCCTCCTTTAGATGAAGAGTTGCTCTGGCTTTGAAGTTTCCAATTGTGTCAAATTGGTTGGGGTACAACCTCACGAGGTCGTGGACCGACTTGATGGTGTCATGTGACAGATTTTGGGGTTCACTTACTCCTGGTTGTTTGGGTGATGCAGGGGGTTGAGGTGACGATTCAGTGGAGTGGATGGTGACCACTTCAAGCTCGCTGCACATGGGCAGGCCGGCTATGGCTGGTCCGGGGACATCTACGACGTAGAATCTGTTCTTTGTCCACTTCGGTGTCTTGTAGCGGCATAAAAGCTCAATGCACCCTAGGCATACAATCTCTGTACCGTTGTACGCCGTCAGCTTGGTCTTCACAGGCTGGACGAAAGACTTCCATCGACATCCATACATCTGTTTGATCGTACGGAGTGGCAACATGTTTCCTCCGGCTCCAGTGTCAACTGTTGTGATTAGTCGGTGTGTGCCGATGAGGTCGGGGCAGATAACGTCAAGCGTTGTGTATGCCTCCCTGTTGTTGTCTATCGAGCTCATGCAGAGGTTCGAGACAGTAACTGTGTGGAATACTGTTTCATATTCCTCTGAAGCTTCTGCTGAATGGATGGGTTGTTCATCTCTGTTGGTGTCATTTGGCTTCTGCTTGCCGGCATTGGATCGACTTTTGGATCTTGGTCTGCGAGTTGTATTTCCTCGCGATGGGCTGCGGCCACGTCTGGACGGAGATTTGCCCTTGCGTTTACCCTGGCTTCGGGTCTTTCTGCAGAATTTGGCCCAATGGCCCTTGGAACCACATGATTTACATGTGTCCCGGTAGGCAGGACACCGTCTTGGGGGGTGGGATAGACCACAGTTGCCACAGGTTCTGCCAGTGGGTCGGAAAGCATGGACAGCTGTATGTGACGCCTCCAACGTCTCAAGGCACTTTTTGCCAGCAAGGATGGCTTCGTACTTCCGTCCCTCTTGTAGCATGTCATCGATGCTAAAACCAATGGGTTTGTCTAGAAGATCTTTCTGGAAAGATTCAGATGTGGTAGACGCAATCACTAATTCGATGATGCGTTCCGTCATTTCCTCTGGTCCGAAGTTACATTCGTGTGCCTTTGCTCGGCATCTGTTGACGAAGTTGTCCAGGGATTCATCTGGTTTCTGGCGATACCGCATAAGCTCCAGGCGATGTATGCGGAAGTTCACTTTGATGTGTAACTGCTTCTCGAACAACTCCCATAACTGGTTGGGGATCAGTTGTTCTTCTGCTGACAGGCTTGAAGAATTTATCATTTTGAGGCCTCCAGTTCCGACTGCTATTTGTATCTTAACAGCACGCTTGGCAGGATCGGTGATTTCCTGGTCCCTGAAGCTCAGGTCCATCCGTTGTTTAAAAAGCTTAAACTCTTCTGCGATGTCTGTGGCACCCCAGTTCATTTCTGGGAACTTGGCCATGATGCAGGGCTGTGGGATAGAAATCTCTGGGATACAATTCAATATGCTACAGCAAACGAAATTGTAAACAATAGCAACTGCAATGTAGCATAAAGGTAAGTGCTACGATTAGTGATCACAATAAATCACAACAATATAATTATTTCAATAATAATTTTGACTATTCAACAATATATTTGTCAAAACACATATTATTGTTCATATATGAAATGTCCAGAGTTCTTTTGGTGAGCAGTCCTTTCTCCAAGAATGTCCAAACACAGTTTGTCCTGCTTTTCCACAGAAATGAGCGATGTACTGTCAGTTTTCCAACTTGACTTGATGTCCCGTACAGGCCTCCGTAGATATGATTGATGCACAGTTCCGGCGCTGGCGGATGAATACGGCGAATGTTCACTGTTCAACCGGTAGTTTTCAGTTACTCTGCTTAGTTGAGAGTGATGGGTGTTCTCTGGCCTTTTTCACCACTGCTGCCACCATGAAGTGAGATGAATCAATGAAGAACTCAGAGGAGATTATTCTCAGGTTCTGTGCCACTGCAGCTTTATTCATCAGACATAATGTAAGAGAGAGCGCGGGCGAACTGTTCACCTAATGTGCTTGCGCGCATACAAAGTAGTGCTCATGAAGTATCACAACAGACTACATAGATTCTTTGCTTGAATTAAGCCTGACAATGCAAATCACTACACTTGTTCTGTTGTGTAAGACCCAGAGCTGTGCTGAACAAAATTATTATTGAATGTTTGAATTAAGTTGGAAGTTCGAAACAGTTAGGTGTGACTACACGTGAAAGATCTATTGTTGCAGTACTTTGAAATTAGTCAGAAGATTCTGCAGGATTCAGGAGCTAGATCTATTCGTCACAAATGCTTTGGGTTCCTTCTTCATACAAAGTGATTGTTTTATTTTTGAGGATGCGGGGTTTAATAAGGGATCAATTTCAGCTTCGGGTTCAACTTGGGATACAACTTTCTGATGTGGGGAGAGGGGGTGTTTACCAAATAACTTGGGTTGAAAAAAATAGGAAAATCATGTAGAAAGAATAAGCACACACTTGTTCACGCCCCCTCAACCCCCATCCCCCCACCCCCAAGCCAAAGCTGGATCTGCCATGCCCCTGACATTTTACGATCAACCAGCTGCAACAAGTAGCCAAGGAAAAGGGCAGCCAATGACTTGATTGACTTACCTCTACTAGTTTGAGGTCATGTTCCTGAAATGACTGGAGTAATAGCTGCTCTACCGTTGGGAGTGTCAAGGACTCGTCTTTCTTTAGGAATATCTGATGAATGTTGGACTCATCCACGGCTTTGTTAGCACCGTGCCTGGGGGGAGAATTGTATTAAGCAACCAATCAGGTGATTCGTCTTAGAAAGTTGGTATGGCCAGTTTGACATTTTTTTTCCGTCAACCTTGACATCCTTTTCATCGAACTTTTAACTCCTTTTATTGTAATTATCACAATTACATCAAACCTATCTTTGTCACTATCACTGTTTTAATCACCAGCACTGTCATCATCATGCATGGTCATCATCACTGTCATCATTATTGTTATATACTCTAGATATGGACAGTCTCAACCTCAGTTATATCCCCTCCACTGTGATTATCACCTTCAATGTTATAGTTACAGTGACTATGTCCTAGTCACCTTGTCCTAGTCACCTTGTCCTAGTCACCTTGCCATAGTCACCTTGCCCTAGTCACCTTGTAGAGTCACCTTGCCCTAGTCACCTTGCCCTAGTCACCTTGTCATAGTCACCTTGCCCTAGTCACCTTGTCGTAGTCGCTTTGTCATAGTTGCTTGGTCACAGTCACCTTGTTGCAGTCATCTCGCTGTGGTCACCTCATCACAATCACCTCGTTGCAGTCATTTCTTTGCAGTCACCTCGTCACAGTCACCTAATCACAGTGATGCAATTCACACCCATTAGATGCAACTCACCTGATTTTCAGGAGTGGTTGAGACTTGAAGACCTCTGACAGCAAGGTATGTAGGAACTCTTCTGGATCTTTCTCTTCACTCATGAGACCCTTGGTTGTGCCTAACTGATCCAGGTGCTCCCTCAGCTGAAAAATACGATCAGCTCGAACAAAACCATTCCTGTTATCAAAATCAAACATAAATTGGACCAGATTGGAGCAGATCCAAGGGGGGGGGGGGCCAACAGGGGGCATGCCCCCCCCCAAAAAAAACCCCACATTTTTTTAAGTGACGTCGCAATATAGTCAGGCACTGCATACACTACCATATTTTCCTAAAAAAAAAATTGGTAAGTGGTCGGAAATTGCCTCTGATTGCACCACAGAGCATATAGAATTCAAACAATTTTAGGGGCCCTAATTAAGCGGGCCCCGAACCCCACACTGTAATTTTTTGGACCCACTTTTGGGGGGACAAAGTTTTTTTGGGCCCCCAAAAATGTGTTCTGGATCCGCCCTTCAAGTGGACAACATTACAACCAAGGCAGAAAATAAGTTCTTCAAGTGTATGGCAGCACTTATTCAAGCTTTAGTATTATTCGACCAAAGCCGTACAGACTGATCCAGGTCAGACTTTTTCTGTTCCTAGAAGGAAACAAAATCCATCAGCCCAATTTTTAATGAACTCTTCAGCAGATCAATAAATAATTCGGTCCAGTTATTTTATCAAGAGTCTTCTCATGGAATCGTCTCCTTCCTGATACAAACCCAGACTCACATTCTCAAGGGGTTGACAATGCTCTCTCTGAGAGTCTTCTGGACTTTCTCATACTCCTGCAGATCGCCCTGGCCCTGCGTGCGTCGCAGGAGCAGATCGAAGACGCCGTTGTAGGCAAACATACTGAAGAGTGTGCAGTCCAGGTAGCAGGAGTTCCGATACCCCTGGATGCCCTTCTGCATGCCCACGAACTCCGGTCTGAGACGGGGTGGGGGGTCAATGAAACCTTCCACTAACGGGGACGCAAAGCCCCCAAAATCTTTAGAAAGACAAACTCAGGAATAATAATATTAATCAATAATCAATCAATAATCAATATATTTATTGTTCACGTTAAAAAACATAGAAATTTGACATCCACTGGCCAAATACAGGTACACACAGTCAATAAAAAACAATATAAATTACAAAATAAGACAAGTTTGAAATACAAAGCAACAAAAGACCCGCACACTAAAAAAATGCACCAGCCAAAACAACGCCAACCGGTCACATGGGACAACATCATAGACAACATCAGGCTGGAAGGATACAGAGAGAAAAGAACACCCAGCCTTCCTACCCCCGTAGCCTCCTGTGACCAATCAACGCTGCCCCGACCAATCCATTCCAAGAGTGCGAAAAATACATTACGAGACCATGGTAAAAAGTGCAAACAACCCTTAGTTAGACCCTGCTTGCATTGTCGTTGAACATGTGAATAGCATTAGGAACAAATGATCGTCTGGTGCGACATAGTGAAGTCCTAGGAACAGAAAGACGAATACCCGACCTATTGAATGTAAAACAACTGTTAAGTGGATGAGAGATGTCTTGCATTATTTTGTGTACTTTAAGCATGAGTCTTTTTTCATACAGTGAACCAATTGAATCCAGATCAGTACCAATTAAACGCTGAGCAATTTTCCTTGGTCTCTCCAGTTTCTTTACATTTTGTTTAGACAGATTACCAAAGTTACAGATCAAACAAAAAGTGAGAATACTTTGAATCAGTGACTGATAAAAAAGATTTAAGATCCTATTGTCAACGTGGAACTCTTTTAGTTTTCTCAAGAAGTACAACCTTTGGTTAGCTTTACTAGAAAGTAATTGTGAATTTGTGTTCCAATTGAGTTTATTGTCAATAACTGTGCCTAAATACTTATACTCTGAAACCTGCTCAATAGGATGGTTATTTATGACCAGGGGTTCATTGACTGCAGCTGAGCGACGAAGTCGAAAATCATTTCCTTAGTTTTTTTGACGTTAAGCACTAAATGATGGCGCTCACACCAGTCAACGAACTTTTTGACAGCACTAATGTATTCAATGGAATCATTGGTTAAGTAACCGCTAATAACTGTGTTGTCTGCATACTTAATTATGCTGCAGTTGGGACTAAGATTAACACAGTCACTGGTGTACAGTGAAAACAAAACAGGTGAAACCACGCAGCCTTGGGGAGCACCTAAACTCAAATATTTGACGCTAGACACCATATTATTACACTTTACCCTCTGTGGTCTATCTAAGAGAAAATTGTGAATAACCAACGCAAGCTGTGGTGTTACATCCAGGCTCAATAACTTATCAATTAAAATATGTGGAACGATGGAGTTAAAACCACTAGAAAAATCAATAAAAATCGATCTAACAAAAGACTTGGAGACATCTAAATGATTGTACAATTTCTGAAGAAATATGGTCACGGCATCTTCAACACCCCTGTTACTCCTGTAAGCAAACTGAGATGAGTCGAAGTGTGAAACTTGGCTGTTCAACATGTTTAAAAGAAGCCTTTCAAAACATTTCATGACATTGGACGTTAGGGCTATTGGGCGATAGTCGTTCATTTCCGTAGGGTTCCTGACCTTCGGTAGAGGGGTAATAAAAGAAGATTTCCAACTCTTCAGAACAACTCCACTGTCTAATATAAGATTAATATTAATAATAATAATGCATTTTTATTATGCACATGTATCTGCCAGCATTGGTGCTCAATTAAAGTCCTGCTCGTATGGTTGAGGGCACCCTTGCTGGCTGCACATGTAATTTGATTCTGTTGTAAATTTTGTTTTGTGTTCTACGGATCTTTGACCATTTTTGAACATCTGTACCCAGCATCTTGCAAAGGAACAGTAGTGAGTCATTCTAAATAGTGGCGTTATTATGAAAAAGAGGAGCAAAGACTGTTTTGGAGTGAAAATCCGAGGTGGTAACAGAATTTATCCTTGCAATACATGTACAAAGCTTGCCATACATGTACATTACTGCCAAGCTTATTTAATGTAATCCCTGCTCGCTGAACAATACGTATTTTAGTAGCTATACCATTTTTTTTCCCCCGAGTACTGCTATTCGAGTACGAGTACTTTGATGATCAAGTACAATTTTGACATGTCGAGTACAAGCGAACTTTGCTGCCCGAGTACGAGTACCGTCATTTCGATAACAAGTACTTTGACATTTGAGTACGAGTACGAGAACTCGAGTACGAGTACCGAGTACGAGTACTACAACACTGACATTACTACATGTGTGCGACCAATTTGACACTAAGCAGTAGGAGGGTTTGGCCAATGGATTCTGACTGAATGGAGGTACGGAGTGTGCAAGATGTACACACCAAATTTGATGCAATGTATACATTGTGGTATTTCGTATTTTTATTTTCATCTTACAACTGCAGACAGAATATGCTCAAGTACTTAAATAATGTAAAAGTTAAAACAAGTAGCTTGAAACATTAACATAGCAATCAATACAGCTTGTATACATGTAAAATGACGTATTCATATCTACTGATGGAGATTCTGATGAAATATTGGAAAAACACGACAATCTTTTTCTAAACTAATAACAAGTATAGCTGATGTGAATGATGTGATGGTTACAGCAAAAAGGAATAAATGGAGATGCGCTGGACGCCTGGCAAGAAGGATGAAAGATGGAGTCGACTTACAAGAGAATGGCAACCAATATATGGTAAACGGAAGAGAGGGAGACCTCAGTCAAGAAGGAGAGACGAGTTGGTGGTGAAAATGAGGACAGCAGCCTGGAAGAGACATACATGTACCAGAGATAAAGAGATATGACCTTTGCCAAGCAGTGGGATGATAAAGATAAAGGCTGATAATGATATTCATGATCAAGTATTTTTAAAGATAAAGTCCATCATTGTAATTTGTGCATTTTGTTCCTTTGAAGCAACAAAAGTGCTCAAAATCTAATGAAGGATACTGAACAACTAACCTGATGAAGTTTCAGCCCAGCTTCAGCTGTAAATTCCGAGAAAAACAGCATTCTAGGATCTCAATTTCAAATCAAAAGTTGCTGAATCATGTTTTGAATTGTTTTGAATGCAGCTTTACGCGATGTCGCGCACTGATCCGACGAATTATAGCAACTGCGCACGCCTGTGCGTCGTGCCAATGCTTGCGCCGAATAACAAAATTTAAATTTTCCTACGGTTCGTCTTAAGACGCACCGTTGGAAAGGCCTTCTTTCGTTGATTACTTCAAAATGACAGCTTGCCAGAAAGATTAATTTCACAGGGAGTTTAGTCCACTTACTATCTTTCAACTAAGTATGTTTTTCAACAATAATACGCCAGTTACTTTTCGGATGGCTGCAAACGATGGACTATAGCTTTAAACAGAGACTATTTCCATCTAAGTTTGTTGACAAGAATTCCGAAAAAATAATAATAAAAAAATGATAAATCATTGAAAAACAGGCTACTGAAACTTTACCTTTGTCTTTGGCATATTCAGGGTATTCTTCGGTCTTCGCACTAAGAGCAACCTTTTTAGACTGCTCCATTCTATGTCTTTCTTCCTCCATTAACTCGGCGAGGTTGCTCAAGTCACAAGCCCTCAGTGCCTCCATGAGGAAGCCAAACCGATCCCTAGTGTAGTCATGGCGCTCCCTCCATTTGGTAAGCATGTTGAGGATGGTGGCAGTTTCAAAAAACTTGTCACTTTTGAGTTCCTCGAGTTCCTCCTCAGTGAATCCCAGATGCAGAGCAATCTTCTCCCAGCTGCCTCCTATCAGCATGGCTAGCTTGCATAGTATTTCATCAGTGACTCCTGCCGCACCACATAAAACATATACAAAAGCACATTTGTGGTTTATGTGATTTAAATCGTGATGTCAAAACAGTGTTGAGGTCAAGTCCATCACAAGTTTGTCACAAGTAAATCCTCAAAATTCCTTCAATTATTTGGACTTATTTTGATTACAAAATGTATGGTTATATGTAGCAAGGCTTGTTGCCATAGATCGACCAGACAAGATCGTGAATTCAAATTTACCTGAAGATAATGAACATTAAATGGGTTTCTAGATTAACTACCCCCTCACAAGAGAAGAAAGGGAGAGTTGGGGAAGAACACTAGGAAACATTTGAACACATTGCCGACGACGCCTGACACTCAGACAAAGAACCATAACTTTGTGCACATTCTAAATAAAATCAGTCATGTGTACATGCACTTTGCAATGCATGCGTGCGAACCAGTACGTAGAAATGGTGTGTTCCATCTACTGGGCTCTTGAAACTGGTAAAAAAAACACCATTTCTTGTTCGAACTCGAAGCCCATAATAAGCATGTACCTTGCACTAGGTCGTATGCTAGATCAGGGAGCCCACTCTCCCGTAGTCCCTTGGCCAGAGCACCCAGCACATCTACGCTGCGATCCTGTCTCCTACGCCACAACATCAGCATCTGATAGGGCTGCTTGTCCTCAGAGAAATCCTCCAACTGCTCAATGTCTTTGGTGTCTAGACGAAGAGTCTTTGCAAGAACCTTCCAGTTGTGGCCGATTTTGATGGCAATCGAGAGCATGATGTCGTCAACCAGGCCTTAAAAGGAGTGCAAAAAATATGAAGGCGGCATTAGACAAGGCATTTTGCTACTAGTCAAAACCAATGGGGCGTGGGACCTCTGGCTCAGGGGCCCCCAAACCCGTAAATAGCATTAAATCTTCAATATAAATGGGTATTAATTACCTTGTTCCAATTCATTGGCAAGTTCATCAAAGTGACAGCTCCGACAAGCCTCAGCCAGTCGGGAAATAGTATCATATCCAGTTCCTTTCCTCTGCCAGGCTCTAAGCATTTCCACTGTACGTTCTTTTTCCTGCGGACATTTTGCCTCAATTCCCTGAATTTCTTCTGTGCTCAGATTCAGAGAAAGACCAACTGTCCTCCAGTCCTTGTAAATTGTGTTCACAACTTCTTTAACCAGGTCCTCATCAAGAAAATCTGCTTCCATTGCCTCTGCAGAAGAAAAAATTCAAATGTTAGTTTTAATTGTGCACTTTAAGATAAGATGAAATTTTGTGTCCATTATATGCACATGAACTTGTGTTTTTACATGGGACCCAGTCTACCAAAATCTCAGTAACCCCCAAGTATAGTAAACTCCTGCTAAACCGGCACTCTCGGGACAGGAGAATTTGTGACGACTTACGTGAATGCCGATATCTGCTGTAAGTTGTCATTTTGCCGACTTACATGAATGGTCTTTTGCACACATGATTCATTGCAATTGGCTTTGATTTATCCTGGATTATCTCCTTAATGCTTGAGTTAAATCCAGCAAATTAGTCCTCGAATTGTGTTATCACGTTTGGGGTATTGATAGTGGAGACCACGATACATATCGTCGATCGTACCACGATCTGACCTATCTCAGTTTTTGCCATTTCAAGAAAAACGCGTTTGAAGTTGGGCCTATTTTGCATCCACCCTTTCACCCAGAACACTAATTTTTATTGACTCGGTTTTTATATATAATAAAGTTGGATAGTTTAATTATGATTTTAAATTGTTTCTAAGGCAAAAACTCATCATTACCAGGTGAAAAATAGGCGCCAAATCCATAAGTCACTTCGTGAAAATTAAATTTTCGTTTTTCATGTGCGCGAACGCTGACCTATCCAGATAGGTCACTTCGTAAAACGAACAATTTCAATTTCTCTGTGGCTGATAGTGACTAATGTCATATGCGCATGCACACGCGCGGACCTCTTCACGTTGAGACATCATGGAGGTTCGTTGCAATATGTTGTTTTTTATATTAATATTATTGTTATTAGAGATTATTAAGCTCTTACAAATTAAAACGCTGTTATAGTGAAGGAAATTAGAAAATGAATTCCAATATATACGGGGTGCATAGAAACTCGTTGAATACATTGTGTATACCTCCTAGTAATAATTCTTGAACGCATTCATTGTAAAGGTGTATTTTATCCCATTATTTATTTATTCTTATCTGTAAAAAAATCGAGAAATAAAATCCGTGGACAAAACAGGTATTTTGTTTAAACAAGACTCACAAGTTCAAGTTACACTGACACAGAACGATAAACGTACATGTACACTCTCATAATCTTCAAATCTTTGTTTTCTATTTTTTTTTATTCTTCAAAGTGTACTTTCTCATTATTCAAACCTATTATTCCCTAAAACAGCAATTTTCTGCAGATACTTTGTAAGCCACCCCCTTAAAAAAAAATGATATATCTCAATGACATACATTAAAAAAAAAAAAATCGGCTGCATTTTAATTAACAATGCTCAAAACGTCAAACTGAATATAAATAGGATGTTTAGTCGCGTTAATACAATGAAGATTTTGGGTTTTTTGAGAGCAAACTATCAGAACAGGCCATATTTAAGGGCCACTCAAGGGATAGAAAAGTAAATCTAAGAAACAAATTAATTATGTAGAAAGACAAGTACATGTACTGCCTTGATGTTTGAACTGGGACTGACCATCATGATGCAGGTCTGATGTAAAGAGTTCAACAGAGAGGCAGTGCAAAGAGTTGTTCTCAGCAATCTTTCAAATTTAAAAATAAGGGCTTTACTTGAAACGTTCTTAGCAATGAATTTCCTTTATTTGTTCTTAATTACTGTTTTTGGTTTTTAGTTTTACTTCAAACTATAGGTACATAAATGAACTAATGCGAGGACTGACAATAAAAGAGGTATCTCTTAATATATCAAGATAAGTCTGGCATTAGTGAAGGATGTAGATCAAAGGTGATAACACTGAGTGACGGCTAAGGAACAGCTCCTGGTTCAAAGATTGTGGAGTTACAAGCACAAAACATCGAAAATCTGGAGATATGCACACAAAAAAGAATAGAAATACATTCACTCAACATTTTTCGGCAATCAGTAGTCGCCCTTTGTTTTAAGGCTGAGCATTTTCCCGTTACATTCCAAAGCAGACTTTGGCAGGTGGTTCATGCATTCAGTAATCAATACTTTTTTATTAAATTTAAATTTAGAATCTACATGAACATTTATTTGGATTTTTTCTTTTAATATAGTCGACATGGAAAATCAATATAAAACAATTACAGTTTGTTAAAGGGAATTATTGATAAATCATTCAGAATGTGTTTAATGTCTGGTGTCACTATCCTTTTTTTTTATATAGATTTTCACATGTTTTGCAATATTAACTAAAACAAATCATAGCAACTGAATTTAACTTTTTTGCAGTTCACCCCATTTATATTCTTTTTATCTGCATTGACTTTAGAATGGTAGCAAGACTGGAGTACTAAATCAACATTTAAAAAGAGAGAAACGAAGCACAAAGCGTAAAAACGAAGAACAGACGCAATGCTCTTTTTGATCTGAGCCGGGCAGTATAAAACCAAAATAATAAGCAGCAAAAGTATGAAAGGTTAAATAAAAACCTTTATGTTAAAAAAATTGCTTACATTCATGCTCCAGGAATCTATCACTTTCCTTTCAACGAAGCGTTTTCAAAACTTCATTCAATTATGTAGATGAATGGTGCTCTGTATAAACTTTTGGCTGCAATTAACCACTGAGACATCCACATTCTGTAACACAAACAAACAAACCAAACCAATCACGAATCATAATATTAAAAAAGCAACCTTAGTTTGGCCCTTTTATTTAATAAATATTTTCCTGAAAGGACAGTCAGTGAATCAACGTAAATATCAACCGAGATGTCATTAAAAAGCACTAGTTTGGAATCAAACCCCACTCAAGTGTTATTCTGACTGATTATGACTACCCAATACCGCCTACACTACAGAGTACGCCAATAGGCTAATTAGTGTAGGATTTTGTGCTATTATACACACAAGTCTCTGCAAAACATGTATTTAGACAAAGCCCAACACAAACATATTGCAATACGAGTATCAAAATACAGAAGATACTTACAGACATTTACAGAATCAGAAACTCGGTTGAAACTTGCTAGTTTCGTTCAGCCATCAAATGACATGTGTACGCCGCCATTGTTTCTGATAACGCTAAAGACTAGCCCCTAGTAACTCAATTTCATAAGAAAGTGATAGGGACCACATTAAGTCTGGGTACCAGACTCTATAAGTCACTTCGTGGAAAACTGACAGTGTTGTTTACGCGTTTCACGAAGTGACTTATCTCGATGCGTCAGTTCGTGAAATGATAATTTCGCATTTTGTAGCGATAGGTCAACATTTTTAATTAGATGAAACAGCATAATTAGCTAACAAGGCCACTTATGAATTTGAAATTTTCAGAAAATAAAGATTTCATCATGCATAACCAGAATATGCTAAAAACCCAAATTCGTCAAAAATTCAGATAGGTCAGATCGTGGTACGATCAACGATTTGTACGTGTGCACAGTAATGTATTAAATGCGTGGGTGGTCGCGATATATGCCACGCACGCATTGACTGCAGCACTAGTCAATTTGATAAGACGACCCCCAAAATGGACAGAGGGCATGCGTACAGCGTAGAAGGGGTACTGGTATTGATATGCTCACGATGCATATATGCGAAGTACGCAGTACATCCTTTTTCGACACCGATGCATGCAGCGATCACAGGCCGTGCGAAACCACTTTTCACTCACACTTTGCCAACCGCAGTACAGGAAGTCAATGCCAATGCATGATTTGTTGAATGCCGCCTTACACAAAAGATTTTGCAATGCTTTTTATGGAAAGGGGACCGAGAGTAACACGATGACTTGAGCGAAATGGCGACTTATAAAAACCGACTTAGAAATAAAAAATTCTATGGAAATGCATTACGGACAATCGGGACTTTAGTCAGACGGCCGACTTGAGTGATTTGACAAGTTGTACGAGTAGCCGGAGTTTACTGTATATGGACTTTGAGTTTCAAGAGACAAAGGAGATCACATGAAATGACAACAAAAGTGATACCCCATAAATCCTGTATGTCAGGAGTTTTCTGCGCACTTGCTTGTACCCTGGTGCTGTAGTCGGGTTTATAACACCTGATCACCCACAGATGCTGTTGCTTGATTGGCCGAGAGTGAGTCACATGGTACTTTCTATTTTTGCTATCTTTCAGTGCACGACCAAAAGTACTTTACCCATAGCAATCAAAGTACTATACCCATGGCACGGTATATGTGTGCAAATGCATGCTGGTGTGCGTGTTTAGCGTTGTGCGTATTGTTCCCAAGAGAGCACACCACAGAGTTGGGTTCAAACATTTCGTGAAAGGGTGGTTTGGAAGAAAGAAATACATTTCCCACCAATTTTGTACTGAAATTGAAGTTTATTTAAACTGTGTTCAGATTTAAATAATTTAAATATTAAAACCAAGCAGAATCTGTGGGTGAAGTGTTATAAAACACTTATCGAATGCCTTGATGAACAATAACCGTAAGGGATGCCTTTGTCATACATGTAGTTCACTTAAATAGCTTGCGACTTGACTTGAGACTGGAGGACTTCTGATGGACTTGCGAGGATGACTACAGCGGAACTCTCATGAATGTTCTCACAGCTCCATCTGCTGTCCTCATGCAGAGTTCACGGGATGCCAGACTCACCTGTCTCTAGGTACATGTAGCTTCGTTGGGTAGCGTCTTCCGACCTGATGTAATTCTCTGCATGCACAGATCTGGAAGTCTTTGCTCCCATAGTTCCATTTATTCCAAATGCTGCAACAATCTTCCTCCGCATGACCGCCCAAGTTGTCATGTTTGAATTTGCTTTGTTCGCCGTAGTGGCCTGAAAGTGTGAAAGATGAAATGTGCAGGCTAGGTAATAGAACGTACAAGTTCTGTATGAAAATATACAGGAAAAGTCTTCCAAGAATGATAAATTCCCAACAAATGTTGATTACTTGAGTGAAAAGAAATTGCAAATTGTCACTATAAACCAGAAATGTTTAAAATGCTTTTGTTCCAGACAAAATGTCTAACACATGAACAATGGCATTATGTATTTGAGACATTTGGACACCGTTTCAGACAATTTTTTATCCCTCTTTCATTTTACATTTTAGACTTTTTGATATTCAAAAACGTAAACCTGTTAAAACCAATTACATTTCAGACATTCTGTTAACCTCAAAATATCTGATAATCAAGATACCAGACATGTTAAGTTTCAGCATGGAGATATATGGAGGTTTCATACATTTCCAGGTGACTGATAGGTCAGTGTCTGGGTGATTGGTACGACTGTCTTAAAATGCTAAGAATTAATCTTCTTTCTTCCTTTCTTCCAGCAAAATATTATCGGCAGCTTTTCTTCTAAACAAACTTGAAACTTTCAACAAATATCAGCCCTGATCCCGACGTGTGCATATTACTGTGCACTGATTTAATTCAAAAAATGACAATTTTTATCATCTATTACTCACGATCAAAATAAACAACCATGTTTGTACTTTGTGGTCTGAAAGACCAATTAAACATTGATGAATTTTTACCTATACTTCAGGGGTTTCCCCAGACCTTCCGGAAACCCCTGAAGTATACATGCAGGTAATTTCGCCACTTCGCCCAAGCACCACTTCGAGAACGCAAAGACACTTTTGTGTTTCGGGACTTACATGTTGGCGACAATACAAGCACAAAAACTCACTTAATGAGCTAGGACTCACTTAATCGAAAATTAAGAGTTCCATACCTGGACATCACTTGACACCCTGTGCACAAACAATGAGACTGGTGTGAAAAATTGTGTTTTCTCAGTAAATGCTTCAATATTGTTCATGCTAAATTTGACTTTTGAGGACATGTTACCACTTTCTGATGGCTGATACTACCGGTAGGTCATTGCAGAGAAAAAATAATGACGTTCTTGTATGGAATTCTTTCCCTTAGAAGTTCTAAAACTCTAGCTTGTGTACCCCAGTTGTAGCCTGGACCTACACCCCTAGTCTCTAGAACTAGGCCCTATGTAGTGAGACTAGGTTTGGGCAAAACATTTGGAAAACAAATCAAGTGTCACCTAGTCCAAGTAAGTTGGACCCTAAAAACTGCGTTTTTAACATTGGGACATGGTCTGGCAATGGGCTCCGTGCACAAAGTACCCGTGCAAGCCAGAAAAAGGAGTGTTTGAGGTGACCAAGACTGGTTTCCGGTTCATCCACTGTTTATTTCGAATGATCCAAAGTTATTGGGGGCGGGGACTAGTCTGGAAGACCATCGCAAGTTAAATTACGTATTCGCACACCGATGACGCCTGACGCTCACGTGCGAGGACGCTATGGCTATTAGCTTAGTGCACATTTAGGATAAATAAGGGAAAGAATGTTGCAACCATGATACAGCTTTTTTCTATTATCATGCCAATGAAGGTAAGTCATTGCAAAAATGATGACAAGACATGAATCCGGGACTGAGAAACATTTCCAATTTTGTTAGGAAATACTTAAAAATAAAAAACTTTCCTTGACTCTCCACAGACTTTGTACACAACTGATGAAGTGGCATCAGGTTGCAACATTCTTTCCTAAATAAGTCGTGCGGTGTCCCGTCCAAGGCATAGACATACAATAAAACCTAGTACGACATTTATCTTTTACGTTGTGAATGGTATGAGCAAAACAGGCTGCGTCATATGGCCTGTGACGATCTGTTACGTGATGTGTGAATGTCATTTGGCTTCAAATTATCAGTGCACTTGCTTATCACCCCTTGTGCATGGCATATCACCATGATCACGCCCATGATGAGCGTTCGCGTAATAACTGACATTCTACACGCCCAGCATTTTGCTCACAGACACGAGGGCAAAATAATGTTGTGTCTAGGACGGTTTTTGTCTTTATGCATCCAAGAGGCTCTCACAAGTGGTTAAAATGCGCCCTCTTTTGTTACGCACGGAGCCAATAGCCAGACCATTATTGACCCTGTTATGTGTTTATCAAATGTCCCCCCCCCCCCCCGGCTGCCCCAGGTCCGATGTCGAGATTTGGTCACATTTTTCATGCCCCAGGGTGGGGATTTTGGTCACTCAAATTACCTGTACATTGTTAACATTGGCGTACTGCATGTAAATGCATTTACTAGTGCGCCCCACGTATGTATGTCGGGGCATGGTCGGGGATTGTCACTTAAATTTTGCCCGAGGGGTGGGGATTTTGTCACTTCAAAAGTGACAATCCCCTCTTCTTGGATGCTTCTAGAATTAGAAGGCTTCTCTCTTTCAGCCTTCTAGCATGGTGATTTTTCGGGGGTCAGCACGCTATGTCTTTTGAAAATGCCCTTTGATAGACGAAATATCTTTGTCTGAAATTCCACTTTCTGAAACATCAATCCATCAAAAAAGTTGAGCTGGTTGATCCATAAGGCCAAAAAAAAAAGTCTCCGGTTTCTTGTACGCGCGCGCGTCACCGTAGCCATGCGCATCGGCAAAATGAAAAAGTTTTTTTTTAATGAAAGATGATGTCTCAAAACCGCCAAACTCACTGGTTTGACTGGAATCCTGCTACTGCACAATTTTAACGTGTTTTTAGATGGGGTTATGATCGAGAATAAGCTTTATGTGGCCTCTCTGGTCTCCCATATATTTGCACTAAGTTTAGTCGGGCACCATTTGCAGTCATCAGCCGACATTTGAAGCAAAAAAGTCAGGTAAAAAAAAAAAAAGCCGCGTCACCGCACCACTTTTTGTACAAGCTCCATACCAGAAACCGGAGACTTTTTTGGGGGGCCTAACTCTGACATGTTTTAAAAAGATTGACACTTGGATCATGGGACAATTTTTTTGGTGGAAAATCCGAGTTTTTACTCACCAGCCGATCAGATGAATACAGCGGTTATGATTCATGTGTGTTTACGTACGTTGCGCGTGCGCTGATCTTCGCGTGACCTCAGCAGGTCAACTCTACAATGACTTCAATTCAATTCAATTCAATTCAATTTATTATACTCATCACGTTAAAAACATGAAAATTGATTTCCAGTGTGCATTATACAGGTACAATAAGACCTTAGATATATAGGAATGCAAAATAAATAAAATTTGATGTAAAAAACAAAAGGTACTATAAGATATTAACACAATATGACAGAGACTATATTTACAGACTATCAAAAATTACAAGGTTGTCATCCAACAAATAAAAACACCAGATTGTTATAACAAGGAGCCTAGTAAGAGACACAATTACAATAGCTCTTTACAATAAAAACACGTGAGTGGATGCCAGCATACCAGGAAAAAAGGACAAGACAAAAAACAGGGGATTATCTTTTGAATTGAGTGTTGAATAGATGGCATGCATTAGGCAAGAATGACATTCTGAAGCGCTTAGTGCGGGTTCCTGGAGGGCGAATTATTCCTGATTTGTTGACAACCACCGAAGAATGAAGTGGATGGGAAGGATCTTGCATTATGTCATGTAGCTTAGAGATAATTGCAGATTCAAACATACAATGTAAATCCCTAACGTCCAGGCCAAATTGTTTTGGAGGCCAATTTGGTGACACGTTCCAGTCTGTGTCTGTCCATGGCTCTTAGGTTACTGTACCAGGCAATCATACAGAAGGTGATGATAGATTGGATAACGCTTTGATAAAAAAAGAAATAAAATGTCTTTGCAAACATTGAATTTGGGATGGAGGGGGGGGATTGTATGCTTTGCAACGCGAAACAGTACATGTACATCATGATGTACGTCATTTTGGCACGCTGAATACGCTGCGCTGTGTCCTTTCAAGTTGTCAGTTTTGGTGGACTGTTTTTAAATTTGACAAAAAAGGGATGAAAAGATCCATCAGTAAACAGTCCACCAAAACTGACAACTTGTAACGACACAGCACAGCATACTCAGCACGCCAAAATATCTTCAAGATGTACATGTGCTGTTTCGCGATGCAAAGCATACAATCTCCCCTCCATCCCGAATGGTACGTCGAGCCGAATGTAGAGTTGACCTGCTGAGGTCACGCGAAGATCAACGCTGTATTCGTCTGATCGGCAACGTAAAAACTCAAATTTTCCACCCAAAAATGTTTCCATGATGTGGAATTGCAGACAAAGGTTTTTCTTCTATCAAAGAATTTTCCAAAAGCCATAGTGTACTGTCTGCTGACCCCGAAAAATCACCATGCTAGAACTAAAAGGCTGACCGAGAGAAACCTTCTAATTCTAGAAGGAGCCGGGGGGGAACAATTGATAGGCGCTTACTTACATGTGGTACTCCTGAACTATGAGGCTCCACGTAGTGGAGCCTCATAGGCAGCTTACCCCGCGAAACTGTTTGCCTCTACAAAACACCAACTAAGTACAAAAACATCCATCACAATCAAGCTATTTATCCATCACAATCAAGCTATTTCCCACAGAACCGCTGCACAGTTTGCCCCTAATTTCCGTACAATACCTCATGACATACTTACGTTATGTGCACCAAACAAACATCGATGGATTATGTCGGTTTTTCGGCAAAAATGATGAAAAATATGCCCTTTCCGCACTGAGCCAACCTGACGCTTGAAACATGCACGCGCGCAGAATGATCGCAGTCATTTGGAAGCTTGAATTGCCTTCCTCGATACCGCGTTACTGTGATAATTTATCACAGAAATCCAGAAATCAAAGATAATTCCTTCCTCGATACCATGTTACCGTGATAATTTATCACAGAAATCCGGAATTCAAAGATAATTCCTTCCTCGATACCGCGTTACCGTGATAATTTATCACAAAAATCCGGAATTCAAAGATACCTATTCCTCGAT